TTACAAAAATATTTGGACCTGACTAGCCCCTGGTAGACGAAGTAGCAGGAAACAGATTCCATCATATTGTACTATTGTACATACTAAAACACACAACACGCCAATAATTTCCACACTAGGGTTTCATAATTATCTTTACGTTTGCAGCGTGACGAGACGTGAACACAAGCTGTAGATGTATTTATCCAAAACAAGAAAGGATATCCTCCTGGGCAAGGAGAGCTACCTCTGCTTCGGAGATACTTACACTAATTCGATGAAACATTAGACATTGGATACAAACGTCCAAATTACAACACACCTGTTAAACTTTACACGTTAAACTACGTGTTAAACATAGGTTACCCTAACTGAACAAATGAACAAAGTTGTTTAAGTAAGAAAGCCGTCCAGTAAAACAAAAATGCCAACAATTGGGAGACAAAATACTTATTTAATATCATATCTGGAAGGCTTTCAAATTGATAACACGGATTTAAAATTATTATGAGCGTACGCCAGAGGATCGTGATTTTTAGAAAGGGACGATCCAAACTGAAACCAAACCTGTAGTTTTAAAATACTGGTTTCAGTGTGGCCTTGATATTCAGGGTTACAATACCCCATCGGCCGCGCAACAGGGGCGCTCTACGGGAAACCAATCCATTACGAAGGATAAAAACACATAACCATTAATAAGGCTCGAATTGGACATCCGCCCTCACTGCATAATCTTTTTTTAAATAAAAACTTAGCCATCTACCAACAATGTGCACTTATAATTTTTTTATTCTCTTTTACTTAATTGTCAACCTTCATTTAAGCTAGTACACCAATCACCAAGCCAATAATAATTTTAAAACTACAATATAAAACTAATGGTTGCGTCCATATCTTTCTTCTTCCAAACACACAAATCTCTGACAACTAACCATACAAACCCAAAATTAAAACGTAAGTTACAGGTACAGTAAAAGTAAGTAGGCGAAAAATTCCTTAAACCTAAAAAATAAACGGTATCAGCATTCTGACACATACTTCCTCCCATAAGCTTGTCAACAATCATGGGTAAGCGGCGAGAGTATGATATTTATAGTTAAAAATCACAAAAGTTGCAACAACTTTTGAGCAATAATTTATTGTTACAGCAATGTTATACTATTTTTTTAGAATTATAAGGACCACATATTAATTTTGATCAAAATTAGTTTTTCACCAAAAATCCGACTGTTTTTATTATTTTATGTTTTTTTTTCATTGGAAAATAGCATTTAAGTTACAATAACTTTTAAAAAGTAGTTCTTACCGAAATGGGAGTAGGCCTAGGCTACCATTTTGTTTCAAGGGAATTTAAAGGGCTACAACATGCTAAATTTTTATCAAATAATCGTTCGGGCCATTTTCGAGAAAATCCGATTTTTCCGTTATTTTATGGGGTTTTATGGGAAAATCCCCATTAAAAAAAAAACAAAAAAAAAACTCAAAATTGTAAGGACTATAACATTCCTAAGCCTTCTAAGTAAGGCTAAATCAAAACTGGCTTTTTTCTAAAATCCTATTTTTTTGTTATTTTATGGGGTTTTTATGGGAAAATAACATAGTTTACAATAACTCTTGAACCGTATTTTTTACAAAAATGGGAGTCGTGCCATTTTGTTCAGAATTTAAAGGGCTACAACATAAGTACTAATTGTTTATCAAAATCGTTCGGGCCATTTTTGAGAAAATTCGATTTTCCCGTTATTCTTGGGCAGAAAAGTAAATCAGTCCCGGGTCCAGGTCTTACCATGAGTACTACCACTTACCACACTACCTGTGCGGTAATAGCTCATTCCCTATATGGGAAATTCGCTAAAACAGTACATTTTATAAAGCTACTAGTATCTCACTTATTTATACCACGTTCATGCTATTCATGTTTGGTTCCTTAAATTGCGTCACATTCTCATAAAACTCAATGATGGCGAAGATACGTCTTTTTTTATTGAATAGTGTTACCTGAGTAATATCACAACAAACCCTCTGCTTTTGGTCCGCAGCAGATGCCTAATTACCGGTTTATATTTATTCTATATTTAGATTCTGATGGATTCAGAGACACAACAAAGCAGGCCACAAAATTGGAGCCTCGAGAAGCAGAAAAACGCAGATAACAAACTATTGTTTGACTAACAAGGGTTCCTATTTGGTTTAGTGAGGGATGAAGGATCTCCGAAAAACTGAACAAAAACCAAAACAGGTTCTAGAACTAGCAGACAGGTGTTCTAGCAGGTCAGACGTGTTATTATTGGTGGGTCTAGGATGAAATTACACAACCACACAGGCCTTGTTAGATTGGGATTAGAATTAGAAGTAAGCGCATCTAAAATTATTAGTAGCAAGGTGTAAACATTAAATATACCTGGTCTATAAGTATTTTTACTGCATTGGACAAGATATCGAGAAACACGTCGACTTTTTATTTGGGGCCAAAAATCGGTCTACAGTCTAACTTAATGTAGGATTTAACAACGGTGAAATAAAGTAAAAAAATATCCTACCTGGAAGACATAGGTACATAGGGGCGAATCAACATAGGATTTTAGCATTAAATTACAACGTGACGAGTAAATAAACTCGAAATAGCTTTAAGTAATCCTAAAAAAATTTTATTGTAAGAAATAACAGATTGTTGATAGGCGATAGCTTTGACCATCCAATAGTCAATGGCGATAGAGGATTTAGGGATATGGTAGGGATTGAACACGGTTCAAGTCTTTATGTGTTCCAAAAATTGTCCAATACAAATAACTTGTTAAATTGTTATGTTAATGTTTTTAAAAAATGTACACTTATCTATTACAAATTGCCCTAAAATAAATACATTTGTTCAATTTTTTTAATTTCTTTTAGGAAGTCCTGAAGTACAATGTGACAAGGTCAAAAGTTGTTGGTTGTTTATGTGGACCAACTCCTGTCATGGTCATATCATGTTGAACATCTCTGTACTAGACTAAGTAGATTGACATTTCTTTTTAGAAAACTCAATGATGTAGTTCCTTTTGACTATATAAAAACTGCTTATTTTGCACTTTTTCATTCAGTCCTTAGTTAGAAAAAAAACCTACAGTGTGGAATAATCTTTTGGGGCAGCAGCCCTCACAGTCACATCACTGATGTTGTTCTTTTAATACAGAAACAGGTGATCAGAGTCATGGCAAATGTCAATCACAAGGAACTCTGTGAACCAATTTTTGTAGATTTTAAGATTTTGACTGCCATTAATTTATTTTTATATATAGCCTATAACATTTTGTTGACTAGTTTTAAGAACCTGAAATCCCACACTCTTAGGGGTGATGTCCACAATTTTAATACCAGGAATAAAGGGAAAATTGACATCCCTTATGCTAGACTTTAAATGAAATCTTATTATGAAGTACTGGGACTCAAATGCCTTAATGAACTCCCTAAGGAAATACTTTTGTTAAACAACAAAGCTTTCAAAAATAAAATTCTTCAGTGGCTGACTGTACACCCTTTTTATGGGCTGGGAGAATTTTTTGAATGTTCAACCAAAGAAATCGTAATCTAGTCACTGCCTTTTTCATAAGTATTTCTCTTGTAAGTTAATGTTTTTCACTAAATTATATCTTGTAGCCTACCTATCTATTTTTCTGTAAGTATACCGTAGTCTTCACTGTGTCACCTAAATGACCTTAGTTGTATCTTATTTTATTTTTTTGTTAATGCCTGATTTGTTTATGTAGGCCTACTGTAATTTATCTTTGACTTGTGTTTTTGCAGCATGTAGGCCCAATCAACTTTAGTGACATATCCAAATGCAAGTGCATGTCTAATGGAATAAAATATTGATTCTGATTCTGAAATACAAACACTGTAAAAAGTGGCAGACAAATAATTTTTATAAATAGGTATGTGGAGCATGAAGATAATAGAAAACCCAGGTTTAAAACCATAACATGCCAAGAAGCCCTTCTCAAAGTCAATAAATAAAACTCAAATTGTACTCGACCAAACTATTTTTTAGAAATTCTAAATTGCCACATCAGTGGTACCAGTGTCGTGAAAGGTTTCCTCCTGGTGTAAATTTAAGCCCTAGTTTAGAATTAAGTACAAGGTAGTTACCTAACTCAGGTGAATCGCAACTGTTTCATTCGGAACATAGCCTAGGCTCATTTTACCAATATAGTACTTAACTCACTTGGACCCAGACCCACTGTTAGCATGTGGTGCGCTATGGGCCTGAGAGGGCATATTTGCACCCCCCTTCGCCCCTTCCTTACGGAAAATTTCTCCTTGCGGCTCCAACAAGCCAACTATACCACATCAGAGTCCATGACCGACAATTAAATTGCAAACATACGGTAGGTAGCTAGCTATCTTCCTATCATCCCTGGATGTAATTTCTAACGTCCAAGTATATATGTAGGGCCTAGGCCTATATATAATATTGTGAACTGTTTGTTCACGTTCTGCAAGTATTTTATTCTTCTGTGCGTGTAAAAGTAAATTTTTATTTTCTGTTGAGACGCAATCTACCCCTGTATTTTGGGTAAAAGATGAAGAAAGGAGTAAGTAACAAACCTAAAACCTCTTGTGCCCTTTACTAAAGCGGACCTGCTTGGCACCACGGTAAAAACATTAATTAGGCCTTTAAGTAACTACCTTCGGGTAGAATAAGAATCAGACATCCCACCTCAATGGAAAAGTTTAGCCAGTATTTAAATCAAAGTGGATGCCTAAATTAGAAGTTGAATTGAGTCACCAACAGAGCCTACTGATGTAAATTAACAAATTCTGTTCAATTCACCAACCTTTCAACCAAGACAAAATGATAGGAAATCTTCTTTTAGGCCAACTGTTACAATCTAGGCCTATTAAAGGTATATTTAAGTTCAACAGCTAGGCCTATATATATCAGTAAAAGAAATTAAAGAAGTCCCACCCCTGCCATAAGTATTTTAATTTAGCTTAGGCTAACTATTTAAATAGGCTAAAAAAATGTTGCTGGAACTTACCTTCAACTTTTCCCATTGCGAGGATGGTTATAGTTTTGACAGCCGGAACAGCCCATGCTGCAAGATGAAAGTACTGAGAGTTGGCTTCAATAGCTTCATGTCCCCATTTTAATCCAGCAGCCAAAAACCAAGTCAGAGTCAACACTACCCACCAAATCGAAGATGCCATTCCAAAAAAGTACAACACCATAAAAACAATTGTGCAAAGTTCGTGTTTCGTTCCTTGAGTTATTAAAGAAACCATGTGAAGATGAGGTATATGAACGGGTGGGGGAAAAGGTTTCTGGCAGGCTATCGTATATCCTGAACCAAAACCGATAACGTAAGCAATGGAAACAGCGAGATAACACACTGACAAAAATATTATAGGTCGCTCAGGATAACGAAATCTATCTGTATCAATCATAAATGTCAAAACAGTCAAAAGACAAGATGCACAACATAGAACTGACCAAACTCCAACCCATATCCTTGCAAATCTTCTTTGTTCTTCAGTAAAAAACATACCATCACAAGGTGCCCCACAGTCTTTTTCGATTTTGTCGCCAACTTTAAGTGAATAATCCATGCCTTTAGGAACTTTGAATTGAACAGGACAAGCAAAGCCAAAGTCTCTTGCGCCTTCAGGTATGTGAGGGTAGTTTGGTAAGCCTATACTATGATCATTGGGCATTCTAGAACCATAGCCAGGACGGGCATACCCTGAACTTGGAAATCCCATTCCAGAATGAGCTGTTTGCCCAATACTGGTCCTAGTGTTACCACTGTTGGCTCCAGCAGTGTTATTTTCTCCGACACAAATGTCAGGACCTCCAGCTTCTGGAAACTTAGCACAATCTAGATCGTCCGGCCACGGAAATCCAAACTTATTCATCAACTCTTCACACCCATTTCTAGCAGACAAACACAATGATCTACAAGGAGGGATAGCTCTGTCTAATATGGTGCAGACTGGAGCATACATTGAACAAAGGAAAAACTGAAGATCATGACTACATTTAACTTTGACAAGAGGAAAAAACTGATGAACTTCTAGACCAGCATCTTCCTGCTTTTGATGGTTCAGTAGGTTAGGCATTATTGTTTCATTGTACTTAATATCCAAACAGAAAGGAATTGTAATAGGTTCACATCTACCATGATGAGGCAAACTATCCCTATCCGAGACTCTGGATGAACTGTGCTGCGATGATAAACCTTGTGATGCACTGACAAAAACAATCAAGCATAGGAGGTGGCGTACAGCATGAAATCCCATGGCAAAACTAAATAAATTTCACTTTGTCACTTAAATTTACGCTACTAAGAATTTTAGATTCAAAGCAACGCACAACACTGAAGGTTATGTGACTTGTAAACACAAAACCTTTTCACAATTTTCATCACAAAAAACTGGACACTCAGGTCAAAATATTACCAAATATCAAAATTTCACTATAAGACACGAAATAATCACAAATTTTAATTCAGCACCACCGACAATATACGCGATTTGCATTTTAATCCGACACAACCGTCAATAAACAAACCCGACAACACGACCGACGAAACCAAGACGACTACGAATTACGAACGACTACGGCGGTATTTCAAAATGGCTTCTTACCGAGCTGAGCTCTGTCGGCAAGTAATGGAACTTTAGTCACTGCTACCAACAGGACAAAATGAAGTCCACGATTAGACTTTCGACGTATTATTAAACATGTGTATTATGGTCCTTAAACATTTTTATTTTTTTAAAAATTACCATGAAACGAATAATGAGCAGATTATTGTCCAAATACTATCACATTCGTTTGATTTTCTTCACAGACATCTACAAGAGATATTAGGTCAGGTCTGTTATGCCAAGGGAGTATTTAGATTAAACCAAACCAATAAACATACTCATAAATCTATAAGGTTATGCTATTTTGAATTAACTTGTTATATGACTTCGGTCAACACACCTTATAGCAAATCTTATATTAAAAAAATTGGTTTTTCTTTTTCCGAGTTCGTTTGGCTCTTCTACCCGACCAATTTTCTTGATTGAGGTCTCAAATTGAAAGTCTGCACGCACAGATTTGCCATCTCGACATATAGGTACGTAAACGAAATTTGCTCCCCATGTATTTCTTATGGGAGTTAAATTTGGATTTTCTTTTCCGAGTTCGATTGGCTCTTCTATCAGACCGATTTTCATGATTGAGGTCTCGAATTGAAGGTATGCACGCACAGATTTGCCATCAAGCATCGGCATATAATTATCTATAATCTCACTCGGCTTATACGTAAACGAAATTTGCTCTCCATGTATTTCTTATGGGAGTTAAATTTGGTTTCTATTTGCCGAGATCGTTTAGCTCTTCTACCTACCCGATTTTCATGATTGAGGTCTCAAATTGAAGTAATGCACGCAAAGTTTTCACATCAAGCATCGGTAAGTTATACACCTATAGGCTACTTACCTACTGTATTATTCCACTATAAAAACAAATTTTATATTTTTTTAAATTCTTACTCCAATTTAAGATGTATTTCACCAGTTATAATTAATTATATAATCCTATATTTTGGTCTAAAAACTTTCAGTGAAATGTCGGTTTTTATTTAAGCAATTAAGATACTGTATTACTCAATCAAAAATCATAAATTTGATTATTTCTCGGATATTATATTTGTTTTATCATTCATTGTTACCTCCAGTTTTGTCACTAGCTGAATACCTAAACCATACAATTAAAAAAAAAACAAATACTAGACCATAGTTTAAGGCGTTTTGTTTTTTTACTATTTTAGTCTCCACAGACTAGGAGGGTTATTCAACTTTTTTTTAACTCACATCAAATTACCTTGATTCTTGAAAGAAAAATTCAGTCTCCTGCCTCGGGAAGTATAGGACAGTGTTAAGACAAAGTCATAACTTAAAAGTATGACTACACACTGTATTATTTATATTATTTTTTTGTCCTTCCTAGTAGGGGTGAGCATCCAGGGACGTACTCAGACCTGTTTTTACGGACCATTTGACCATTTAGCCCTAGGGGGGGGGGGTGCCGCCAAAGCTGGGTACGGCCCTGTGAGCATTAATAGGTCAACCATCAATGTTTTTGGGCTAATGTTTTCGCAGTTTTTCATCTACTCTCTGTACTACGACAGCTAATTAATCTGTCATAGAATCATCGATATTTCAATACTTGGCCAGTAACATCGATGTAAAAAAAATCTGTAATCTATCATCGATTTAAAGACATCGAACATTGAAAGAAAAACATCGATGTTTCTATCAATGCTCATCCCTACTTCCTAGGATGTTAGGCTCTAGCTTAGAACCGTTTTAAATGGGTTACATCTGGCTAGGATTGTTTCCAGTATTATCACATACCAGTTGTTAAAATGTTGATTGGCAGAGTTTGTACCTGGGGCCTGAGGGACTGAAACCCACACTTTACCAGCTCGCTCCCAGATATTTGATATTTTAAAACACATTTAGTTGATAAAATACACTTGGAGAACTACTAGTATTGATATGTTACTTACTCTTACTGCCAGGGCCATGCATATCTAAGAAGACATTTGGCCGCACCAACAAAGCCTCTCCATCTTGCTCTATCCTCTGCATCCTCCTCAGTTGCTCCATGTCTTTCTTTACTTGGCTCCACCATTTTTGTTTTGGCCTTCCTCTCGCTCGGTCGTCTTCCTTCGGGATTTCTCAGTAAAACTAATTTTAACTTATTTTGCTGCTCTCTTCGTAAAACATGTCCAGCCCATCTAACTCTTCTACACTTAAATTCACACACCACATCTGGATCTCTGTAGAGTTCTCTCAGTTCTCTGTTGTGTCTCTTCCTCCATTCACCACCTTCATAAATTGGTCCATAGATTTTTTCTTAAAATCATATTTTCGAATGTGATTAACTTCTTTTTTTTATTTGGTTTCCATGTTTCAGCTCCGTATAATAATACTGGGCTGATTATTGTCTTATAAATTCTAACTTTGGTGTTTTTAAAACCCCATAAAAAAAACGAAAAAAAGGATTTTAGAAAAAAATCCTGTTTTGATTTGACATAGTATGTTATAGTCCTTACAGTTTTGATAGTTTTTTTTTAAATTTTTTTAGAAATTTTTTTAATAGGGATTTTCCTATAAAACCCCATAAAATAACGGAAAAATAGGATTTTCCCAAAAATGGCCCGAACGATTTTGATGAAAATTTAGTATGTTATAGTCCTTTATATTCTGAACAAAATGGTACAAATCCCATTTCTGTAAAAATTACGGTTCAAAACTTAATGTAAATTATGTCATTTTCCCATAAAACCTCCATAAAATAACAGAAAAATTGGATTTTCCCAAAAATGGCCCAAATGATTTTGATAAAAATTTAGCATGTTATATTCCTTTAAATTCTGAACAAAATTGTACAAATCCCATTTCTGTATATTTACTCTCACCGCTTACACATGATAAAGGTTGTTGACAAACTTATGGGAGAAAGTATGTGTCAGATTACTGATACCGTTTATTTATTGATATGTTAAGTGGAAAAAAACCATAGTACCTTAGTTGTTACTTAGGAAGGGAATCCTATCCTACCTACTCTAAAACAAGCGTGTGTAGGAACAAACTTTTATTTTCGTCCAAGGATTTTTATTTATTTATTTTTGTTAGTAAGGGGTATTTGGCTACGAGAAATCGATTGGAATTGGGCTCAAAGCTGGGAATGATCCAGTTTCCACCCCACAGCCCTTGAAAGTGCCTATGTTGTTATCGTCAATACCTTTTTGTTCTGCAGATAATAAAAACAGCTGATACAGGTAATTTTTTATTGCAATCAATGTATTTATTAAGGTGTAAAATGTTTTCTTTGTATAATCTAAAATTTTTCACATTGATTACCGTTTATAATAAATATCTTTAATTTAGCTAAATTCTAATAAATGTAATGTTTAATTCAATCCAAGCAAAGCTCGGTCTCCAGGTACTGAAATGATAAAATAATGGAACTACTAAAGTTTTTGTTTGTTTTAATCTTTTACTTATTATTACTTACAACTATGATAATATCAATCTAAGAGAATACATTATATAAGTTCATAACTGAGGGCAAAAAGAACTACAATGATCAAAAATGGTTTTACTTTTTATGCTAAAAAACAACACAGCATGAATACATAATCTGATATGTTTGGATCTAAACATATTACAAAGCTCTAGGCCTATATACAATCATTATTATTCAATCCAGCAAATCATTGGGAATTCTTACAAATCAAGCTTGAAACTAAATATTCTGGTAAAAATTGTCATAGTGGAAAACGGATTGTTGCAATAATTCCTCAAAAGATTACCTAAGTTTAGAGCCCTTAGGAGACAAATTGATGCATTTTTTTTATCAAATTACCCATAAAAGGATAGGGTAGAACCTCTTTAATCCGAACTAATCGGGACCTGGGGTATTTCGGACTATTGAATTGTTCTGATTACAGAACATATTGTTGTTTTAACATAACTTTAGCTAAAACGTGGCTAAAATGAATCATAATTGTTACAGGAAAGGTGAAAAAATTCTTTATAAAGTAAAATGCAGTGTTTAATTGATACAGTAGTAAACATAGTGAATAAAGATTAATCATATATTATATTTTTAAGCTCTTTAAAAAGGTCTAGAGAGATATTCAAAAAGTTTGTGTTTTGAGGATCAAAAATGAGAAAACCCAATTTTTACTCCATAAAACCCCCGTTAAACCCTGTTCCCATGGTCCGATCAATGCTGGTTCGCGAACTCATTCAAGTTTATCCTGCCTTACACCTTTAAACCAAATTTCATAAAAATGACTCAAGTTATCATGGACGCGCATATATATATATAAATTTGAACGAATGGTGTTTTTGGCCTCTGGAGACATCAAAATGAAAAAGTCAATCGGTCCCGGGCCTAGGTCCACCTACCGTAATAGCTAATTCCCTATAGCGAAATTCGCTAAAAATCTGCTCTCACAAAGAATAATTTTAAGGATAGTAGTCCTTGGAATAAATACCAGCTTAAGGATGATTTAAACAAGGTGTGGTTGCATCAAACTAATTACTGGTACTAAAGAGAAAGTTTACTGCTACTGATTATACTTCAATGACACAAGTCATTGTATAAAAACTAAAAATATCTTAAAGAAAATAATAACAAATCAAAATGAAAACTAGCCAAAAACAACACTTATCTTAACATCACGATTCAGCCTATAGGAAACAAAAATTGTCTACACAGAATAAATGAGTTGTGAAATAAATGCAAAATCATGCTTGCCTGGCTTTCCAAATAAAGATACGCTGTCTTTCAGTGAAAACTTGATTCCGAACGATTCCTCGACCGTACACATCTTCTGGTTCAAATAGTAGGTGTTGTTTGTGTATACAATCACTGTATACGTGTTATTCTTCTCAAGCTTGACTGACTCCTTGAAATGCAGATCGACAAACGAGTTGTAGGCGACTTTCCCACTGTAGTTGATTGAACCGACCATAGGTTTGTTGGGTTTCGAAGCATTTTGGATCGAAACAATGTAAGTCTCTTCATAGAGTTTGGGTGCAGCCCCCATCATACCAGGGAAAAACGTAGGAACTTGGATACCGTAGAGAGTTATATCCTTGCTGACGAGGAGGTCTAAGGCAAAGTTTTTGCAGCCGAAGGGAGCAGTTAGTGCGGGACCGGGCAGGACAGTTAGTTTGTCTAGCCTGGGACTCTGAGGTGTAACTGCCTGGTATGTACCGAGAGGGTTGAACAACCGGCGAATCAGCCGCTTCAACTCCACCATAGTGCGCTGCTTGGTAGAGATACTGAAGCCCTCCGGCATCGGGTAGGAGCCTGGGACCACCATGTTCATGAGGATGGCATAACTCTCGTCCATGGTCAAGACACTCTCATCTCCTTTGGACTTGCTATAGGCTACTTGACTGTAAAATATATAAAACAGATGAATCACAGGGTTGGATAACTTGTTACAAAAATTAGTTTGAATGTTCAGCATAATTGGTACAAAGATGGTTTGCAAAGGATGAATGAATGAAGTAATATAAGTTTATTCCACAAAATTAGTAAATTGTACGCATGGTTTAGTTAATATTTGTTATATATTTTAAATTACCTACAGTGAGTATGAACATGGTTTGTTGTAGTGGTTTGCAAAAGATGGAAACTAGATATACAAGGTGTCATAACCATTTAAAATATATCAAAATCAGTGATTATTCAGTGAGCTTTTGCCTTGAACATGTTATGAAATAACCCTAGTTCATGAATAAAAATAGAAAAAAACTCCTTCAATTTTAGAGACCATGAGTTGATCACTAAGTAAATAATGGAAGTGACTTTTAAAACTGCACCCAGATGTCCTTGATCATAGGGCTTTGTCCTGAATAGTGGTCTTGGCTAAACATACAGCTAGCTAGTCTTAGTCAGATACACAAGGCATCTCACTCCACTCTACACTCATCCTTCGTTTATATATTTGCATGACGTCAGTAAGCCAGTAATGTTCACATTCCAATTGGTAAAATAACTGATGAATAGCTGAATATGAAATATCTATAAGTATAAAAGAGGATGTTTGTATATATATATATATTTGGCAGTGATAAACTCAGACACCGCTGAACCGATTTTCACGAAACTTGGTACATACGTGTAGAATTTCATGGAATAGGTTTATACACCATCAATTTCGTGATCCGTCCAATGGGCTCCGCCCCAGTGGCTCTGGAGTTTCCCATGTTAACCTTATGAAAAATGGAATTAATGAATCTTAACAGCTGTTTCAATTAAACAAGTTGGTTCTGTTCTATGATGTTCAATAGCATTAAAGTTACAAGGATTACCAACAGGGTGCAGCACTATTATTTCTTTTACATTTATGACAACAGCTAATTTGCAATCAAAAGGTGAGTGAGCATAGCGAATGAACTTCAACCTGGAGGCGAGTTAGCGTAGTGAACGAGCTAACCTGAAGGCAAGTGAGCGTAGCGAACGAGCTAACCTGGAGGCAAGTGAGCGCATCGAACGAGCTCCAACGTAAAGGTGAGTGAGCGTAGCGAACGAACTTCAACCAGGACGTGATTGAGCCATGCGAACGAGATCATCTTGAAAATTAAGAAGTTAAACGGGGCAAAGCCTGCGCGTTACAGCTAGTATATACTCTATATATTTCAATAAGTATATCAAATAAAAATAATTGATAATTAAATTGTAAAACGTAATATTTTTCACATTACCTCACAAAAAATTCCTTTGACAGAGACAGGAACCGCAGTTTACTGATAGTTCCGGGCAACAACATGCTGCGTTTATTCTCTTGATTAGGAACCACTTCCATATCTAAACACTTCTGGTGTGCCCACCTCAAGACCTAGAACAATATTAAACTCATTTGAACACAAAGTTAAATTACAAAAGTATCAGTACAATTATGGCAATCGTTTATAAGTATCAAACTGTGTAAGGTAAAGAAATCATACATCCTCTGAGAATAGTATGAATATCAAAATTCATAGGTAAGGGCTGCATAAACCTTTTAACTGTGTTTTGGTGATTGGGTTTATACGTAAATATGCATTCCATTGAATCTCAAAAACTCATTCAGAATAAAAAATAAAACCATGAAAAAAACACAGTCGTTAGACAGTGTAGGTTTTTTTCCTCAACTTTTGGTGAGGAAGTTTTGTCATTGACATTAAAAACGTGGAATTGTTTAAACATTAACTGTCTCTGGCACTCACAACACCAGTGAAACTGGCTGCCTTTCTCTGTGTATTAAGTTGGCATAGGTCATTGCAGCTACTTCCCAACAGCTTGGAATTATATCCGTTTTGAAACTACTCACTAGGTATCACCACCATGCACCACCAAAATAAACAAAACTGTTTGTGAAATAATAAGTTTTTGGCCAGTACTATTACTGTTATGCACTACAGTTACTACTATACTGTTACTGTACAAACACAGTACTGTAGAGTTTCTACGCTGGAAAAATAATGTACAATTTGTCTTTGGAAGATACTGCAGGCAGTACATCTAGTCACCTAACTGATTAGGATTATCCAAAATTAGTCTTTCTGACCAATAAGGGATAAACTAGAAATTTACATGATACAAAAATAAATTTAAATAGGTTCAAAAAATAAAATGCTGTTCCCGGACTTCATGTGGACCCTGCGACTCACCCCCAAGACTAGATCAGCCTCCTCTACACCCAGGCCGTTGTCTGCTACCAGACTAGACACCACAGAACTGTCTACAGTGGGGAACTTGGGGTGCTTCAGCAGATTTGTTATGTTCTTCTTGAAAAACTGTGGAAAAATACACAGGAATAAGAAGTATCTGTTGCATCATAATACAACATTGAAAAAGAAGTTGACAATTGAAACAGTGCCGAAGTATTTGCATAGCATAATCACCCAGTTAATTTTAACAAATATTTATTAGGTTTCATGGTTTCATCTTAATTGCTTTATTTGAATATACAATTATTTTAATTTAATTTAATCATACATCTTTCAATTGAAACTGTACAGGTAACTTCACGATCAGTGTCGTATGTTTTACTAAATTACCTAAAAAACAAGTATATAAGTAGGGATACCCTTGAGATTCTTGTCATTCGCCTATTGGGTCTGGTGATGATTGGAGTGTCCAATCGAAATCGATCACCACTTATCATCTTTTAGGCCTATATGTATTTACAGTCTTGTGAGTCAACTGTGTAAGGGTGAATAAATAATTATTACAAGTGGTAATAGGCATATTTCTTGTTTTATAGGTTACTGTTGTATTAAGGCATCTTAACGAGGCAGGATGTTGTTAAGTCTGTTCTTTTTTGTCATCTATAATATTAAAACGAAACTGTGTTTTTTTATTTCACAATTCTGAATCAACCACTTGACGGATTTTCATGATTTTTGTGTTGAAAGAAAGATAATTTTGAGAACTAGGGAATGTCGAAGCCATAATTTTAGTTTAGGGTTTCAGTTTTTTAGAAATTAAGTTTTAATTTTTAAAAAGTCTAGCAGCCGACGCTAGCAATTTAAAGTATTTTCAATGCTGGTTTAACTAACAGCTGGTTTATAACTGTCATTGAAATGTTTATGTTACGAGTTGTTGTTTACAAAAATATTGTTCGTTGGTGTTTGCCTACATACTATTTCACTTTAAAATGTAGGTAGTTTTCCCCTACCGTGAAGGATCTGCGTTATCAGGAAATGTGTTATTTTGAACTAAACATCTCAAACACTTGCGTTTACTCAAGTTTTGTCGTACATGAAATCTGTGTAAGTATTTAGTTTATGCATTACAAATTTTAACTCATATTTGGGAAATATTTTTTCAGTAGTTTATTGCTTAATTGTTTAAGATATAAGTGGTTTACGTGTTGATACTTCTTTTTCTGTATGTTTGAATGTAAGTATGTCGGCATACTAAAATTTTGGTTAGTAATGAAAGCGGTAATCGGTGTAGTAGGTCTCTATAAAACTGTCAAATAAACTGCAGGGTGCAGCAGAAACCAAAGTCGACTAATACCATACCAACTATCCCCGTAGTACTGATGATTCAGAAACTTGGGCACTGACCAAAGAACCGAAAAACCTTAATGCTGGGTTAGATAATAAAGTGCAGAGAAAAAATATACAGACCAGTTCAAGATAACGGCCCGGAGGTCGAAATAAAAACCACCAGCTCGTATGATTTATTTGTGTTTGAATATGTTGTCAAATGATTTTTGTAAACATGTTTTTGTAAACATTGGTTTAGTTTTGAAATAAGAGTTTGTTGAAACAAGATGTGTGATTAATATTCTTGGATTAGAATTAGAACAGTAACTATATATGACCACATACTAATGGGGCCACATGGTTCTTTTAAAAAATCTACTTATTTACAAATTTCACTTAAACAGTATAGGCCTAAATAATCTTCATTTGTAGGTTTAACCGACCAGTGTCATCGCTACAGTCTAGGTTGTCTGGTGAGAGCCTCGTCATATTGGTATTTATTTATAAAATTTACAATACCAGACGTTCTACCCATACTACAATGTGGTATCCTCAGCGGTAGAGCTGATGCGGAAAAAATTTGTGATAGAGCTGAGGTGTGCTAAAAGTGTCTCAAATCATAAGCAAATGTTGAATGAGATTTTTAAACCCAAGCAATACATTAAGGAAGAAGGAATGTATGAAAAAATACTTCAGAAGAAACTCCCTTATCAGACAAATACTTCAATTGTGGGTTAAACTTCCTGAAACTACGTGAATCCTTCTTCCTTCATGTAATCATAAGCTAGGGAACTCTTTCCTTCAATACTAACTCAAGCAATAGCAACAGTACGACTCTACGGTAGAGCTGATCTAGTGGTAGGTCGCCGAACTTTAATACTCGATGTCCCGGGTTCAAATCTTGCCAATCAGCAATTTTATCTCAGTGATAATGCCACAACCCTCTAGGCCTAGCCTGAAGTAATTTGTAAAACAGTTCTGAGATGTGAAGATGGGACCTACCTTGTTACACTCATCCGTCAGTATCTGGTCCTGTGTTGCTATGGCAGCCTCCAGTATAGGCCAGATACTATCTAGACTCATCTTTGCCATCATATACTCCACAGCCTTCTCACATAGGTGAGGTAGCTTGAACTTGACTGAGGCTCTGTACAAGGCTTGTGTCTTCTCTACATTCCACAGGTTCACATAGTCCAGGTAGATATATCTGTAATGTGTCATGGGTTCACATTTATACAGGGTGTTTCTAAATGGAAGATCATATTTTATATGTTCATTACTTTAACCCTTCCCGGACGGCCTATAATATGTATACGGACAGCAAAATTATAAAAAAATATATGTCTTTTTTACATCTGTAATTTATAGAATGTTCTAAATAGTTGACCTATGCAAGACGTTTGTCCAAAATATTATTTTTTTCTTTATTTTTATTCTTCTCTAGAAAAACATTCCTGTACATCGGTTAAAGATATAATTGAATAAAAGACCCTTTTTACGATGATTAATGTTGTTAAATATAACAATAATTTGTTAAGTAATATTGTTAAGTATAACAATAGATGTTGTAATAATTGGCAGATGTATACGCCTACCGTCCACGGAGCAAAAATAGGCTGCAATAAAAGTAAACAAAATTTGTAAGAAAATATTAAGAGGCAATCAGCTGATATGAACATTATCCTTAATCAATCTGTACACAATAAACGAATAGTGTCAATACAATACAATACGTATAAATCTATCAGTTCATCAATAAAAGTATCTATATATATCAAATCCAATTTATGTTTGTCGTTTGTTTGTTCATTATGAGTTACCAAACCAGCTAACCGATCGTGATAAAACTTGAGAAACTGATGAGAAATGTGATAGATGTGACAATTTTAAATGGAAATTTTAGGGAAAAGTTCTCTTGCCACATATTCTAACGATACCTACTGATATGCCCTTTGAATTCAAATGAATTTTACATAGTCTCGAATATTCAATGACTCACTTTCTACTCTTGTTATTAAATATACTATTGAGTTTTGAGCAATTAATATAGGCCTACTAAACTTTTACCTTACCGGTATGACAAGTCCCGCTCTAATTAATGATCTGAGCGTGACACAATGTTTAGGCCTATTGCAATTAAAAAATCATAGCAACAAGTTTCAATACATTTTAACACTAATACCGAAACCCCGGTCTGACAGGTCCACGGGAATTTTCACAAACCCATGTTGGCAACACTGTTTACTTGGGAGATTCCATTCCCCCAATACCTTCCCCCCTTTTCCTCCCCTGCCTATTGATCATTGTTTGTTCATTTTGTGTGGGTGCCGTGAGCTTGACAGGTTGTCTGTTTATAACATTTCCGTATCAGAAGCCCAGCGTTAGTGTATTTTAAAGCAGGGTCTCACAGGCCAAGGGTTTCGGTTTGTGTGTTTCTAAGCGGGGTCCATTATTTTTCCAATGGGGTCTCACAGACCAGGGGTTTCGGTTAACGTCAGCCTAAGTAGGGTTTCGGTATTAGTGTTAAATAGTTATGACTTGAGCAGGCTAAAATATTAAAATTGATAATACTTTTAATCTTTTACATTTGAGATTGAGTGACTTACTCTAAAATTTGCCTGAATACGTCTGGCTCTACATCTGGTAGACTGATGTTTAGAGATTCACTGAGGAGGTCTTCAAACTCTGGACTGGACATTGCAAGGATAACTGAGTGCAGTTTAAAATCCTGAAACAAGTTTGGTTGAATATCTAAACAAAATTTCATTTTATGGTAAGAAATAAGAATTTGTATTGAAATCCAGAGTAAGGGACAGCAGTGGACCAAAAACTGATGGGATCGGCCAACATTTCACACTAATAAGCCAAACTTTTCTTACTTTAGTCAAGGCCACACTAAAAAAACAGGCCGTAATGCTCGCCAATCATGACGTCAATATAGAAGACGGCAATGACGTAATTAAGGTTATATTTTTGTTTTCCATGAAAAGATTAAAACAAGCAGCTGATCACAAACGGTAAACATTACGTCATTGCCGTCTTCTATCGTTACGTCATGCTAGACGAGCATTACGGCCTGTTTTTTTAGTGTGGCCTTGCTTTAGTTGACATTGCACACATTTTTCTTTGTTTGGGAAGGAAGAAAATCATATTTTTAATACTATAGTAATGATAAATTATTACATATTAGTATTTCATAGCCCTTATTACCCCCCAAAAAATAGTACCCCATTGCTGTAAAAATTATAGTTAAAAAGTTATTGCAAGTTATGTGATTTCTCCATAAAATAACAGGAAAAAAACAGATTAAAAAAGCGCTTGACCGATTTCTATTAAAATTTAGTAGGTATGATATATTTTAATATCAAAAAATCCTACTAACCTAATTGAAAAATAATTCAAACATAATTATGTTAATTTATAAACAAACATTATAAATCATAGTTTATTTACTTGATATGTTGTTGAAGATGGGTTTTGATGAAAACTCAAAATATACCTCCACATTTTTAAGTAAATTGTGATTAATTTATTTTAGTGATGAGTAGCCAACAAACCAAGAATAACATGTTATAGTCTTGTTAACTCTAAACAAAAGGGTACAGCCCTTATCGATGTAAAAATTACGATAAAAAGTTAACTTAATGCAACTTTTATGATCATACTTTTTTTTGTTCATAAAATATCATAGTTACTCCCACCACTTGTCCATGATAAAGGTTTATACAAGCTAATGGGAGAAAGTACGTTTCAGATTGATGATACCGTTTACCTAAAAGTCTTTCCATAAGCAATTCGGGTAGTTGGCGTTTGGATAATTAGCCTACTTATATTGTGCTGTAACTGCTTATTTAAACTTTTACTATCAGGCCTATGTATTGTGGCACTCACCTGTTGAGCCTCAGCTTTGCCAACCTGCACCACACAGTCACTCAGTTTGGACGTGGTCAGTAGGTAGTTCAATCTCTGTCTGGTAGTGGTCGGAGCCAACTGCCATCTCTGAGGCGAGGTCTTTTCACCTATCACACAACAGTTGAAAAATTAACATCAAAGACCTTTCAAATTCTTACTAAACGACAAAGTTTGTGGCTGCCGAGAGTGCAAGGAATTTACAATATGCTTGGTTTACATTATGTTGCTCTCAAAAGGTTACTGCAAGCCCTGGCGTTTAAACTTGTGCTAATTAAAGTAATTTGAAATGCAATTATTTCATCATTATTACTTAAGACAGAGACGTATTTTAACCCAAATATGAGTGAAGGGTGAGTGTAGAATAGAGAGAGGTGATCGGTGCAGCTGACTAAGATCAGCTGCTTCGTTAGCCAGTATTATTTGTGTAAAGTCCAACGGTCAGGGACGGGTGGATTCAGGTTGAAACCACCAAATAGCTACTAAATTTTCTCAGGATTCATCCAGCAATCTTTTGAGTGTTTTTGCACTATAACCACTCAGCTATTCAGCCAGTTCATTAGTATTGTTACTTACCTGATTTTTCTTCTTCCTTAACTTCAACACAGTCTTCTTCTTGTGTTGTATTATCTGAAATAAAACATGTTTACAATGTAAATATTTAGGATATCATTGCAGGCTTTTTGGGTGATAGTTTTAAACCCTTCCTCTGGAATATTAAATCCCTTTACGAAGCCAAAATGAGTAAGCCAATATACTTGCTAGATGTTTTTTTTATGCCTTGACAATGACAATAACTACATATTCTCAAATCACCATGTAGCAAATTTGTTAGAGTTGCATTTAAATATTGGTTTTAATAATGTATTTGATATCTTAATGTAATCTATCCAATAGTGTATATCCAAGATGAAGACTAAAACATTAAGTAAGTGAAGAGATTAAGCTTGTTCTTTTCTGATTAAGAGATGAGCTGCTGTATCCATTCAGCTACTCCGCGATCCAGTTAGTTAGGGGAGAGAGCTGCTCTAGTGGTTAGAGCATAGAATGTTAACTTACCAAGGTCCTGGGTTCATATCCCGACGATCACCAATGAATTTTATCTAAGTGACCCCGCAACCTCTAGGAGGCCTAGCCTGAAATAATATGAAATACCCCCGCTGCAGCAAACCTGCCGACTAAGCGAATTTCCATTTGTCTGAATTGATTTTAAATTAAATATACTGTATTTAAATAACATTAGGTTTAACGAGTACCTAGGTTTGCTGCTACAAGGAAACTAATAATGTGTGTTTTTAATAAGATATTGATAGCTTAGTATAAAATAAATAAATTTGCCAAATTTGATCAAATATCCATAAACAAGCAAACTGCAACATTTTACAATATTCTCCATAAAAATAACATGGGAATTTTAAATTTACAATTTTTTAAATTTTCTCCGTCACCAATAATTGAACAAAAATACTTTTACTAAATTATTTGTTTTTTAAGCTCATTAAAAAGGTCCAAAGAGAAATTGGTAAATTTTGTTTTTTGAGGGTCAAAAGTGAAAAAAACCAATTTTTACCCCATAAAACCCCCCGTAAAGCCCCGTTCCCATGGTACAATCATGCTGGTTCGCGAACTCATTCAAGTTTATCCCGCTTTACACCTTTAAACCAAATTTCATCAAAATCGGACAAAAATTACTCAAGTTATCGCGTTCACTGACGAATATATATATATATATATACATATATAAAAATTTGAACGAATGGTGTTTTTGGCCTCTGGGGACATCAAAATGAAAAAGTAAATCGGTCCCGGGTCTAAGTCTTACCGTGCCACCTACGGTAATAGCTACTTCCCTATAGGGAAATTCGCTAAAATGATCCCAGGCTAGAGCCTAAAATGTTAGGATATGAAGGTGGGAGAAAAGAAAAAAATCGATATCTATATAATTAATACGCTACATGAAACTTTGTCGGTTGAACTCCTCCGCCATTTCTTAACCGATTTTATCCATTAACGTCTCATTGGAAAGAGCGTGTCGCGTAGATTTGCAAACTGGCCTTACATTTTTGAAAAAATACCTTGGGCTCTGCCCCAGTGGCTTTGAAAGTTCCCATGTTATCCTTATGGAGAACATAATTGTTTACATTTTGATCAGCTGTGTAATTTAACTGCTGTTATTTATTTTTCAATGCAAGGAAACGCATTGAGTACATTTATTTACAATTTGAGTTTGTCCCCCATAACCCCCAAGACGGATCGTGGTTGTATCTTAAATTTGTGTATTTATCGTTGTTTTGTGTAGCTATAATTTGTTTATTTGTTGTTTTTTTCTTTTAAATGCCTCCGACGCGACGACAACAAAACATAGGCCGGTTTTATGCACCGCGACAGTCGCGTGTCGCGTGTCGCGGCGCGACTCAAGTTCTATTGAGTTAAATGGGAGCATTTATGCACCGCGACAGCGACAAACTGCCGCGCGAGCGACTCGGAGATCTCTAAATACCCGCGACAGGTTTTAGAATCGCAGCTTCAAAAAATGTGTCGCGCGCGGTTCAAGTTCTAATGGATCAAATGGGCACGTTTATGCACCGCGACAGTCGCGGCACGACAGTAGTATTTTTCATACTCCACGTGGTATATTCTCCATATATTTATATTGATTAATGTTAATAATTAGTATATAAATGAGTTCTTTACCCTTTAATTGTAATATAAATTACATCATTATATTATGTAATGCCATTTTTAAGAGGGTTGATTCAATTCCAACTGTAAATTGTATGTGTTGTTTAAATAACTAGGGTTTTGTCATTAACGTGTACAACACTACAGGGTCTATATTTAAACAACTTAATAATCACTTCTACATCACAAACACAACACACAACATTGGATTGAGAACAGACCGATTTCTTTAATTCCCCCACCACCGGATGTGAGTTTACGCGACAAAAAAGTGTCGCTGTCGCGTGACATTTTGGTCAGCCGCAAGACGTGGCGCGACTCGTGACTCGCGACTGTCGCGGTGCATAAAACCAGCCATAGACAGGAGGCGTAATCGTGATAACGACCGTAGCTACAGAACATGCAGTGGCGCGTAATAGGCTTAACTCATCATAGCCAACACCTGACCCTGGACAATCTAAACTATTAAGTTACAAATGCGCCCTAACACTACCCCAAAACGACTTTTCGTTCTCAATTGGCCCTCTATCAATGACCTGTGTTGCCTGTACAGCGAGGCATTTTAAGAAAGAGAAAACCGACCGGAATGCTTTAGGTTTATCAATAGGTAACGAAGATAAACATGGTCTGAGTTACACACCGGTAATCTTTGAGTTGACTCTTTTAAACTCATCGTAAATATGACTATTATTCGTTTTGAAATAACTCCTGTAATACTTTGCAATTGCTCGAACTCGAGCAACATGTACACTAGTATGTATAAATAAACCCCAGTTGGTATACATACCTGGGACAGTGGTCGATGTTGTGTTTTCAGAACTGGTAGGCTTGGCTTGGTCTTCAGAAATTCCTTCAGAAATTCCTTCATTGGTTTGTGCTGTATCAGTCTTTGTCTTGTCTAAACACAGTCAATCCCAATTATAAAAATGAAATATTTTCATAGACAACTGACTGAGATAAAAGTATTGTCATACAAATAGATCAAGAAATTAGATTATTAGAGTACAGTTTTCTAAGAAAATTACTTTTACATGAACACTAACTATTGAACTAAACTTTTACAATATAAAATGGAATATTGATAGTCAAATATACCAAATGATTTATATCAACACAAGGCTTACTGAATGGAATAAGTCTTAAAGAATTACAGTCCAACCTCAGTATAACGAATCTGAAGGGACCGAATTGAATATTCGTTATATCAAGGATTTTGTTAAAACGAGGTTCGTTATATAGAGGTTAGGTTTGCAGGAATTTCGCTAAGTCGGGGTTCAGAACCAGCGTCGGTCAATATAGGTCGGGATTTGATCTCATTAAAATACAATTAAAGTAGCATAGGCTACGCTACAATACTTTACAGTACAGTGTTTACATTGTAAAGTAGGACCTAAATTATCCGGCAAAATAAAGGGGAGGGATCTTGAATATTGCGCAATCATGACAATGGCTTTGACCTTGGTACAGGTTAAAAACTGCAAGTTTAAAATCACAGCTTGTTCTAACCCTCCTAAAACCTAACCAAACACTGTATTGCGTAGTCATAAACCATGTAAAGAACAAAACAAAACAGTAGAAAGTTTTGTAAGCTAATGCTCGTGATAGGCCGGTAGGCTACTTACAGTACAGTACTGATTTATCACAACAGAGGAATGTCAATAATAATCATTAACTATAGCATTGGTGTTGCTAGTTGAAACAAATCGTATTGAAAACAATAAATTATTAGATAAGTCATTATAAAAGTGTATAATCATAGCCAACTTAAGGATAATAAAAACACTCGTAAAAGGAATGTTAAGATAACGATGTTGCTATTATTTCTCTTTGGTTTTGTTTTTATATTCATTCTTAGTTTTCTCTTTATCCGAAAATTGTACAATTCACCATAGTTATCCCATATCGCCCAATCACAGCTTACTAAACATTACGTCGCCATCAGTCCTCAGTGAATGAAATCAGTTGAGTTCTCAGTTGCAACATAGCGCGCGCAGCGACAGCAGACAAAGATAAAAAACGGAGCAGACGAATGTTAGCGCAAGCGATGACGTGACCTTTCCATTTCATTCGATAAAGAAACAGATTTTCCCAAAACAATAATTGGGTGGGGGATTTGTTATATCGAGGGAAAGACGTAGACAATTCGTTATGCAGAGGTTAAATTCGCAATGTAGAGGTTCTGACAATGATAATTTGTTATATTGAGGTGTCTTATTTTAGCCGAAATCACGAAAAATTCGTTAAATCAAGGTCGTTGTTATGGTTTGTTCGTTATATAGAGGTAAAATATACATTGTGTCTTATGGAGAGTTCTAGGGGATTAAAAAAAATTCGTTATATCAAGGAATTTGTTATATCGAGGTTCGTTATATCAAGGTTAGACTGTATTACCAATGAATGGTTGCAAATACATTTCCAACACATGTTAAAATGTAATTGCAAATTGCAATCAATTTAGTTAGGTGTAGACATTTGTTAGGAATTGTTATTTGTGTAACTAGTGGGCGAAGTGGCACTTTGCTGCACACAAGAGAAATGTTTACGCATAAGCCATAGGCGAGTGTGGAAAGTTTCTCGAGTGTAGCAAAGGCAATCTTTTTACTCGTGTTACACATTATATTCTTCCTACAGTCACTATAAGGCATAGAAATAATTAGTCTTTCAAACACTAAACAACACGTTTTAGGTTAGGAAAAATTCAAGCGTTGAACGAAATGGGAAACACTGCAACAGCTTATCGTAGTCGTATTATCTTTAAGTGTTGCCAACCTATTTCTAAGCGTACACGGATTACGTGCATAATAAAAGCACGCTGTTTTGTGTTGTTTGGTTAGAATACTGGAGTGCGGCAAAAGCAAGTAAATGCAGCAATTAGAAACTTTCTGTAATCAGTGCTGGAAGCCCTCTTTGTCAGGTAGGAAAATATATTTTTATATCTGTAACATTGTGCCTCATAGACCTTAAATATGTCCATGTTAAAGAAGATAACATGTATGTAATTAATTTGCATTTGGCAAAAAATAGTTCATTAAATACAGTAGTAATAGAACAAAAATTTAAATTGAGATTTTATTTAACTACTTACGTAAATATATTTTACCTACGACCGTTTTTTAAAGTAGCCATTTCAGTCCAGTTCTTAGAATTGAAAAGTTTCACTTTACAGCTGTTTACTTTCATATCCGCATAGTTTCATTTCATATCCGCATAGTTTTCTCATATCCACACAGGTAACGGACCAATGAGGTTCAAGTATTGAGAGAAAAGAATTAAAATTGTAATGCTTCGAACGTCAACTAATCAGCTGATCAGCTGATCAGTTGATCAGTTGACCAATTTAATTGTTGATCCGACTTGTTCATGTTGATACTCGCGTATTCTTAATTAAGTTGGTGGAAGTCCAGAAATAAATGAAATATTTGCCGAATTGTACCTGATACAATATTATTTATGGTAAGAATGCTGCTAGCAATGTAATATTTAACGAAGTTTAACAAACACGTAATTTACAGGAAATCAGCTGATTATACAACAAGTCGTTGTATAACATTCAGTGGCAATGACAATACACGAAAACATAACCTCTCTAAAAAGTTATCAGTAGTGATTGTTAGTAATTAAATCCAGATTGATAGTAATTAAAAAACGGTCGTAGGTAAAGTAGTGTACGCAACTCGCGTTAATAGTCTTTACGACACTCGTAGAAGTTTTTAAGGCACTCGCCAAGGCTCGTGCCTTAAATTTTCTACTCGTGTCGTAAAGACTCACTTAACGCAATCGTTGCGTAAACTACTATTAAAATGTAGATGGAAACATACCTTCCTCATCATTTGAGCTTGGTTTGGAGTCGACATTTTCTCCTCCTCCATCCAACACATCTATAAAGATCAAAATAAGGTCAAAAGCTGTTACGTGCCCACATCTCCAAAACTTGTTAATACGAACATTAAAGTTTACAAAACGTTTTTCAATGACAGAGTACTTTTTTAGTAGAGTGGAATCATTTCCAGGTATTTACGATGGCATTGTTGTCGGTCTTATCTCATCTGTCTGGGAGAGAACGGTTCGCTGTAGCGTCGCCAGCAGCGGCCCGCGGTAATCACTGTCTTTGTATTACTTAATCATGCCACAGTGCACTGTGTTTGTAAGATAGATTTGCCCTGCAATATATTTGAACTGTACGAACTGTGTAAGTGTAAAGTTAGGTGTGTTTCTTTGTTTCAAAACGCTAATATTTTACCAAAAGAAAAACAATGCGATAACGGACATGAAATGACACTTAGTGTAACTGACAGTCGTGAAAGGTGGCATTGTGGAAAAAATGTGTGCCGACAAGATGTTCAACTACGATGTAACACTTGGTTTGAAAATTCATGGTTGGGTTTTGAAAAGGTTTTGAGCCACAAACTCACTACTCAAGATTTTTTCGAACGCGAACTGGGCATCAATCTCAACACTGTGGTTGATTGGAACAACTATTTGCAAGAGGTAAGTGCAGCAAAGTTATTAGCCAATCCCATTGTAATTGGAGGTCCCGGTAGTCCCGGTGTCTAACAGTAGAAATAGACAAATCAGTATTTGCTAAGCGTTAAGTACAATGTTGGTAGGGTTCCCAAACAACAGTGGGTCTTTGGCGACATTTGCCGCAAAACAAAGGAATGTTTCCTGTAGCTGTGGAGAACAGATCAGCTGTTTCACTAAAGCCGATCATAATAGACAGCATTGCTCCTGGGACACTTGTCGTGTCCGATCAATGGCGATCATACAATGGAATTAGAAATGCAAACAAAAATTACAACCACCAAACTATCAACCACAGCGAGAACTTAGATCTGGACAGTGGCGCACATAGCAACACAGTTAAGAGAATGTGGCTGTCCAGTTAGTTTTAGTCGTCGTTTCAGAAACCATCGAAAATGGTAGACAGCTATTTTTGTGAGTTCATGTGGCTGAAACGGCTTCCTCAAGAAGGTAACGTTTTTGGAAAAAAATACTCAGACATTGCGGCTTTTTGTCCACTTCAATAGGTATTATTACACTAGTTTCAACTATGTGTGATTTTTCCTTTAATTTATATTGTGTGTAATTAAAGCCCTACTCTGAAGTGTGTCTTCTTTATTATTTAACACCTACAATTCTTAACTCTTCTTAACTTCCTAACAATTCGTTATTCAAGTGTTTGTTGGGAAAATATAGTGGTGGGCACGTAACGGATTTTGACCCAAAATAATTACTAGACAATGTTTTGTTAGAGCAGTAAATAGATCTTACTGTGAATAACATTTCAAACAAGATATTTGGGGTACCTAGTATGTATCACAATTTTAATCAAAAAAATCAATTTAGTTTCAATCTTTTTTGAATATACACCGGGGATTGAACGTATATCTTTAAAACCAAAGTCTGCTAAAATTTAAGTTTAAAATTAACCCTTAGAGTGCCAGGCGAGAAATAAAAGTAACGCTTAAAAAATGCTGATGATTTTTCCCGAAGGTCGCGCTAAAAATGCCAAGCGCAATCTGGCGATTTTTAGGTTAAAATTTCGTAAAAATCGAATTTTCGATATTTCGACCAACGAAAATCGATGTATCGCATCTAGTAACTTTCGACTCAATGTTAATATATGGGTTAAAAGAATCCGAGTATCCATTCGGTTGTTATGACAACTGTTCGATCATTACGAAACGTCCGATCAGCCGGACGTTGGCACTTTTGGCTCGTTCTAAAAACGTCCGGTCGGCCGGACGTCGGCACTTTTGGCTCGTTCTAAAAACGTCCGGTCGGCCGGACGTCGGCACTTTTGGCTCGTTTTAAAAACGTCCGGTTCCCTGGTCGTTGGCACTCAAAGGGTTAAATAAAATTACATATTCTTAAGATGAGTAAGCTAGGCCAAAACTTGTAGAACGTAAAAAGAAATGTTAGTTTTATTTAGTTGATTTAACGACTACCGCTACGGCTTTTTGTGGTTGAGTACTTTACTTCTATTGATTCACATGTGCCAAACTCTACATAACAACTTAACTAGTCAAGATACTAAACACGACATATCAAATTTACAATACTTACTTTTCAATTGGTTAGATGATGAACTAGATTGGTCTTCTGAAATCTCTTCATCCCTGAAACAATATTGTTGGTAATTTACTTGTTTACAAAAAAGATGAACACACTATCTATCTATATAATTAATACGCTACGGTACATGAAACTTTGTCGGTTGAACTCCTCTGCCATTTCTTAACCGATGTTATCCATTGACGTCTCATTGGAAAGAGTCACGTAGATTTGCAAACTGGCCTTACATATTTGAAAAAGTCTCTTGGGCTCTGCCCCAGTGGCTTTGAAAGTTCCCATGTTATGCTTATGAAGAACATAATTGTTTACATTTTGATCAGCTGTATAATTTAATTGCTGTTATTTATTTTTCAATTCAACGAAACACATTGGATGGGTACATTTACTGATTTTGTTTAAATTAAATATTTAGGCCTACTACTTTAATTTACAATGTAAAAAATCGAGATAGCCTGGGCAATTTGATATATTCTACCTCCTATATAATGAAGAACACCTACCTACAATATGAAGATTCCCACAAACAATGAACCAGAGGATGTTAGTTGAAGTGGTACTATTTTGTAGGAAACAAGGACTTAATTTTATGACTAGCAACAGTGCCAAATACAACGGTATCTAGTTTAAATAAATAAAAAACATACCTACTATCATCTTCCAAATTATACCAACATATTCAGACTCAATGTAGGTTACATTTACATTGATAAGAAGGTGATAAGATGTCATGATAAATCTAATGTTTGTAACAAAACTAGATGAGACTTTTTTGCTATACTTAATAACGGTATTGATTTGGACAAAAATATTTCCAATTAATGGTATTTTTTGAAAATAAATTGCTCACTTTTTATAGTAGGACCGAATACATAGGTGACTAGTTAAAATGGACAGGCAAGATGGTTATTATATCAATCACTCGTTAGTTGTAGTGAAAACACAGTCTCAAGTTTTGTTGGGATACAAAAAAAGAGGGAGAGGTGCTGGGAAGTGGAACTGCTTTGGGGGGAAGATAGAAAAAAATGAGGGAATCAAAGCTGCTGCCATTAGGTAAGCTATTTTTCTTTTTTCAATAGGCTTATTATTTAAGAAATGTATTTAGGTGTATCATGTAGATACATACTTTACTTACGTTTACTTACGTTTTGTACATCAAAACGTATAAACCAATAACCAGGAACTTAATTTTACAGGGAGTTAAAAGAAGAAAGTGGATTGACGTGTACAGAAAATGATCTACATAGTATTGCAACCCTTGATTTTTCTTGGCTTGAAAAGAAGGAAATGCATCTAGATTATGTCTTCCTTTGTGAAAACTATACTGGTGATATTGTAGAAACCGAAGGTAACTTACTTAGGCCTAATGTTATTTATTGACATAGGTCTATGAAGAAAGATATTGCGTTTATTGAGAACATTTTAAATAGACCTATACACAATTTGGTATAAATTTCACACATCAAGTATAATCTTCTGAACTATTTGGATTAAAATAAATTTTAAAACATATTATATTTTGCTTGTTTTCTGAATTATTAATCTATTCAACAAAACAATATGTCCTTCTTTACTGGTCCACTGCTGTTAATTAGCTTTAGTATTGTCTGCCTCTGCTTGAGGAATTGTCCATTCTCACTATTCGACAGCTATTCATTAAACGCCTATTATTAAACATCTTTAAAAATCATACTAATTATTTCAAAGAATTACTCACTCTCATAGTACCTGTTACTCCTCACGATTAGGCATTTCTTCACTTCAGATGAATTATACTTTCTCTAAAACTAACATTTTCTTTTCTAATATACTCTATCAAAATAATATGTAGGCTTCTCATTTTAGTAATGATCACCTTCTATTAATGTTTTCAAATTAAGAGTAAAAGAATTTATCTTCAGGATTGGTATGAATGCGGCCGACGCTATTATGAATATTGCAGCTGATTACTGGCACGTTTGACCCCCACCCAGTCCCCTCCATCCTGAGCCAGCAGGTATATTTTAGTCCCCACCTGATTAAAATTTTATTTGATTTTATTTGGTTTATTATATATTAGTCTTTTCTAATCTTTTCCCTAAACTAATATTTTATGCAAACAGTTTATTTTAACTTTTAAATAAGTCAATTATGATTTTGGTTTAGGCCTACTTAATTTTTAATAGCAAACCAGCAGACGCATAGGCAGCAATTGCCTATGTCTGGTGATTTTCTAAAAATAAATCAAATAAGGTAATACGGAGAGGTTCTGTTTTATTTTAGTTGTAGTTTATATTTTGTAATTTTTCATGTATTAAAAGTATGTATCTGTAGACCTTCGAAGAGAGACCAATCTTTTTGTATAAGTTGCATGTTGAACTTTTTTCTGGACATGTGCTTCTTGGATAGGACGGTTTATAACTACAATAGATACATTGCGCTGGGTATTCTTGCTTCTTTTGAAGAAACTTATAGGCTATCCTTGATTTTGATTTAAACTCGATTATGTATTTGCTTCAATTTGAACTCTTTCCTCAACACATAAATCTGTATTCTCTCTCTTTACGTTATCTGTATGTCGTATTACTGTAATGGCCTTGTCTGTATTAATTATATTTAAGCATTAACTATTAAATCATTACCTTAGTATCAAACATATTTTGTTTCAGAAATGCGCCCTCAGTGGTTTGATTTGGAAAAAATCCCTTACACAAAGATGTGGGCCAGCGACCGAATATGGTTACCTCTAGTACTTGAGAAGAAGCTGTTCACTGGATATTTTGTGTATGACGTCAAAGGAGAAATATTAGAAAGTAAAATAAGTGAAGGGTCTACAGACCCGATAAATAAGTAGCAAAGTAAATCTTATTACAACAGTTTAAAAAAAATTTGTTTTCATTGGCGTCTTTATTGATCACTGTATTTTAAAATGTGATCTCCTCTCAAAATAGTCCCCTTGGGACTTCACACACTTATTCCAACGATCCTGTCACTTTTGGAAACAAGCCTGGAACTCTAAGGTAGGGAACAGCCAGAAGTCACAGGTTGCCATATCCGATGAGTACCACAGCTCCTGGCTGGCATAGCACAGGAATGCCAAGTTTTGATAAAAAAATGGAAGAATGCACTAGAGCATTGTCCTGATGAAGCCACCAAGAATTTGTGGCCAACAAATCGGGATGCTTGCGACGCACTGCATCGCGCATGTGGCGTAGAACATCTAAGTAGTACTCTTTAGCGATGTTTTGTCCCTCAGGTGCATACTCATGATAAACTTCTCAATTACAGTGAAAAAAAAATACCCCCGCCGCAGCAAACCTGCCGACTAAGCGAATTTCCATTTGTCTGAAATGATTTTCAGTTAAATAGCCTATATTTGAATAACATTAGGTTTAACGAGTACCTAGGTTTGCTGCTTCAAGGAAACTAATAAAGTGTGTTTTTGAGTAAAATATTGATAGCTTAGTACAAAATAAATAAATTTGCCAAGTTTGATCAAAATATATCCATAAACAAGCAAACTACACAACATTTGACAATATTCTCCATAAGAATAACATGGGAATTTTAAATTTACAATTTTTTTAATTTTCTCCTTTACTAATAATCGAACAAAAATACTTTTATATACTAAATTATTTGTTTTTTTAAGCTCTTTAAAAAGGTCTAAAGAGAAATCGGGAAATTTTGTGTTTTGAGTGTCAAAAGTGAGAAAACCCAATTTTTACCCCATAAAACCCCCCGTAAAGCCCTGTTCCCATGGTCCGATCGTGCTGGTTCGCGAACTCATTCAAGTTTATCCCGCTTTACACCTTTAAACCAAATTTCATCAAAATCGGACAAAAATTACTCAAGTTATCGCGTTCACGGACGTATATATATATATATATATATATATATATATATATATATATATATATATATATATGTCTATTAAATATTTAAGTAAATAAGTACAACTGAGCACCCTGAATATTATATTTTATAAAAAGAAGTGACTCAGGGTGCTCAGTTGTACTTATTTACTTAAATATTTAATATATCAGCAGCCCTATTAAGTGAACACCTAAATTAAAACATATATGTCTATATATATATATATATATATACATATATATATATAACGAATGGTGTTTTTGGCCTCTGGGGACATCAAAATGAAAAAGTAAATCGGTCCCGGGTCTAGGTCTTACCGTGCCACCTACGGTAATAGCTACTTCCCTATAGGGAAATTCGCTAAAATAGTCAATAACTTTGATTTTGCTTAGAAATTGGCTTGCTTTTTTTGCCGCGGCGGTGTTGAGAGTTTCCACTGAGAAGACTGCACCTTTTTTGTGGGGGTTGGGATAATTTCCCCCTTCCTGTTGACCTATTGTAGCAACCCTTAACTCAGTCTGACAGTCCTAGGCTTTTAGCATAGCCTAGGAGCTGTGAGAGGCCAAATTTCCTCATCCCTATAGATTCCGTTCCAGAGATTTTCACCCATCTTTGGGACACCTCCGGACAGTCCAACCATAAGTGTTCAGAGGTTTCCTCCTCGTTTTCGGAGAACCTACATTGGTCTCTCTGTGACCTCCCTATGCTTCTAAGATGTTTCGGTACTTTGGTATTATCCGAAGGCCACCCTTAGGCCTATACAGCGCGCTGCGGCGGTAATGTTAGTTTGGGTTATCATAAATATATGTTTGTAGGACTTTACTCGTTTCATTATGAATCAAACACTACCAGATTAGTCATCCTTAAGCTCGCCAAATCCCCTCCAAGTAGGCCAAGGTTAGGTCTTGACCGGAGCGCGCGCATCACCTGTCACCGCATTAACTGGTGTGGCAGTAGAGGCGGCGACGCATTCAACTTAATGCTCGCCGACATCGCTGCCTTCTGGGAGGCAGAACTCAAAGGCCGCTAATTGTAATAATGTCAAATTTGGATAAGTCAATTAAAGTATGTTCTTTCCATTTATGAGCACCCAACCTAACATAACCACCGCAGCGTGCTGTATAAGGGTGGCCTCCGGATAATACCAAAGTACCGATGTTTCCTAATAGGGTGATTTACCTAATAAACATTTCTGATTTGTTCTATCTAAACTGGACAATGTTTACGTTTTATACTAATGTTGTATGTATTTTGTTTAATAGGCCTAGTTCAAAACCCATAAAAATTATCTGTTTCAGATGGGACAAAAACAGAAATAATTGCTAAATTTAGGCCTATGTTATTAATGTAAATGAATAAATTTCTATATCAGATTATAATTTTATTAATATTAATATTGAAACAGGGCGTCCACGGAAATGTCGCTAATAGGATTGTAAAATAGTGGTGCGGGACCAGCTGGTAATTGCCCTGCAGGTCAGTTTGGGCTGCCTCAAGTTAGGCATAGGAGGACCATGGTACTTGAGGTTTCAACTGACATCAGGGTCCCCCCCGTACATAGAACGGGCACATACTGTTGATAAACAAAAATGTTCAATTCAGAATCTAGATAAAAAATATTTTGTTAAGCTAAATGAATGTAGGCCTAAACAAAATGTTTCTCGTATTTTCAACTTTTATATTTTGACACTCAACAGTTGGAGTAGTAAGTTAACTTACAGTGTGGCCAGTTTTGACATTTTCCCTTCACGTAAAAGGTGGTTGGCTATACCCGGTTGATGGTACGGACACAACTTACTATATCCACAATTCACTTACTGATAAGAAAAACAAGTAACAGTTAAGTTAGTTATGTCTGATTGAACTAACTTAATAATAAGTCAACTTCTATTTTTTCACTAAAGAATAGTTTTTATTTAAATTTCAATCTGAATGTGCTTGACATATGTTTTTTTATGAATAAAGCATATGAATTTTTAACAAATTCAATGCAAATAAGTTAGACAAAACACTAGCCTAAAATAGGCAGCTACGTGTTTTAATATATACCGTACCTATTCTAATTTAATTACATTGATCTGATAGTGAATATATAAAACCAACGACATTATTAACTATTTTTGTTTATCGGCTGATCGATATCTACCAGCAGATGTCCAGCTAGAGGTTGTCAACACACTCGTCCGCCCAGTAGACAGATGATCCTTAGGCCCACTTGCAGTTCTCCGTTTGACAAGATATTTATTTATTTATCCCAACGGTTTCTCCATTTAATACAGTTTTCTACTAAACTAAGTTAAATTAACACAATTAACGATATTTAAATAGGCCTAAGTCAACGCTGGGGTAGTGCCTATCATGGAGCCAAAATGGTTATGCCTAGTTTAAAATTATTGTAATGCCGTGGAAGGATGATGAGTAAAGCAGTAGAGACAGTGAGACTGTGTTGTATTCCATTAGGCAGCCGGTACATCCAAACAGGGACATATAACTCATTCAAAGAATCCATCATTTAATGAGCGATTCAGAACTGGATGATGGCCATCAATGGTTACCTATCGATGCTCATCCCTAACTCAGAGCCATGTTCATAAGTTTCAATTTGTTTTGACATGCTGATAACTTACTGTACATTGTAACGTGGACAAGCCAGCCCCTACGGGGAGAGTACCCAGTGATATTCCTCCATCCAGGATGGTGGGGTGTTCAGCTCTCAGAGAGGTGGTAGTGTGCCATCAATCTCTAATCTGCCTGTGGCTGTGGTTCTTTGGGCTTCGGCCGGTTCGACATTGTATGTGGCAAATCCTCGACTTTGGAAGTATACCTTTTCCTGGAAGGTGAAAATGGGCGAGTACCCGTAATCTCACGGGTACACTCTATGGGAACGGAACTTTCCGCAGTGTGAGGGTAACGGTTGGTGGTCACACTACATTAGCTTACGGTACCCCTGTCCCTGAGACCGGTGGGTATGGTTCCCGAGAGTGTGGAGGGTTCTCCATGGAACCTCAATTGAGTTAAGGGTGTCGCCACCTTTGGTGGATGGTTCATCCGGGTGGGTCCCACCCTACCTCCCTCCGTTTGGGAAACCCTGATGGCCCGGCAGTGATGTTGGGTCAGATGGGCAAATGAAGTAGATCGGGTGCTGGGATCAAGCCCGCTAGGGGTACCTGGGGATCTATCGCCCTTGTTATCCCTGGTTTCCCAGTGAATGGGATGGCCTCGATCGGGTAGTGGTGGAAATAGGTGGGTCCCCTTCCTCTTGGCTTTGATGGCGGGTTTCGGCCTGTCAGGGATTAGATAGGTCCCGAGTGTCGCTTGCACTGTGTTGCGTCCATGGACTCCATTATGGTCCGTCGGGGTTTCGGCCCTGGGGGAACCCATTTGGAGGGTATGTGAGACCAAGTTACCGGTATCCCTGGTTAGGATTGAGGGGCAGCCCTCTTTCCAAAGGGTTGCTTCGGCAGCCGGTGTTGTCAAGGTCGGTGCGCAAGCTCCGGCTGGCACCATGGATCCCGGGTCATGTAATAGGTACCGGGTGGCCATCTGGGGGCTTCGGCTCCTTTGACAACAACTAAGTCTAAGTTTAAGTCTATGTACATTGTAAATAGCTTATAAAGTATTTATACTTACTCCTTTGACTTTTTCTCAACATTCTCTTCTCCTTCCGAAGTACATGACCTCTTCATTGTTATATAGATTTAAGTTACCGGTGTAAGTTAAACTAAGATAATATCAATATCGGCTATAAAAAACAAAATCTAAAATATATTAATGAAAAAAATGTCTTCCAGTGTAAATTATTTATCTTGAATTAAATTAGTAAACCCTAAACAAATAAATGGACATGCTTATTAGCGTCTTGTCCGTCTTATGTTTTGTTTTTGACTTGACAGATTAGACAAAACAAACAAACAAACAACAAACTTGAGTGAGACTGAGACCGAGACCGAGCTGAGAGACTAGATTCGTACTGGATTCGGAATCGGAGACCGGTACCACGGCCGCCTTTAACTCCGTAGTTAAAGGTGTGCTACTCCCACATATTCTGACGTCACACGGATTGCAAACAAAATATCACCTGGGGCCCATTTCATACTAATATTATTAGTAAATCAGCTGATCACCCAATGCAAATTACAAGTTACAAGTTGTAACTTGTAGTTTATTATGAAATGGGTCCCTGATTGTAACTTGATAAAGATAACCGGATTAGTGATCAGGAGGTCCCGGGTTCGAATCCCGCTGGCAGCATTAACTTTTTGTCAACAAAATTTTCATATCAGCAAGTTTGGTTGGTTAGGTTAGGCTATGACAGTTAAATTTTATAATATTAAATTTTAAAATTAATTAAAAATTATAAGTAATTATCAATTAGATTTTTATCTTATATAGTTTTTATATTATCAGCAATTCTGGTTGGTTAGGTTATGTTATGACAGTTTAATTTTAAAAATTAAAAATTTATTTTATAATTTTAAAACAATATTTTATAATTAAAAAGTTAATCTTATAACTAAAAATTAAAAAAAAAATAATTTTTTTCAACTTAGCAGTTCTAGCGGCAAACGCTGACACTACAAGATATGTTAGCCTTAGTCCCTCCCGTGTGCCCCACCGGTCAAATTAGTATATGCATTTGTTTTGATTTGGTTTTTTTTATTATTATGAAAACAAAAACAATCAAATCAAAACAAATACATACTAATTTGACAGTTACAATCAGGTGATCTTTTGTTTGCAATCCCAGTGACGTCATAATATGTGGGAATAGCACACCTATGTTTTTTCCTTCCATCATGAGCACAGTTCTAATTTTTTTCAGTAGTTTGGTTTGGATCAATCGTATTTGTAATTACTTTTGTATTGGTGTATCGCCGTTTGCAATAACGTAGAGGATACGCGTCCGGTAACCGGACGTGGATAAGGCGTACGGCAATGACGTCATGGGGTTGCGGGAGCCTGGAACGCCTTTACTACAACAATACCACGACCAGCCATCGGTGTTTGTGGTGTAGTGGTTAAGATGCTCGGCTGATATGCAAGAGGTCCAGGGTTCGAGTCCCATTGGTGACTTTAACTTTTTGTCGAAGATTTTGCATTGAATACCATTTATTCTTAACTGTACATCTTTTATTAGAATTTTTGGCATTTATAATTTTTTAATAGAGAAAGAATTTAACCTTAATTCGATTTTTTCATCATCAGCAAGTTTGGTTGGTTAGGTTAGGTTATGACAGTAATTGCCGGACGTCTAATCCACGTCTGGTTACCGGACGGCGGCGGACGTGTATCCTCTGCCTTGCAATAAATAATAAATAAAAATCCGTACTCAATCCCAATCCAATCCAGTCCTAATTGGAATCGGCTTTATCTGGTCATGTCAGCCCAGCCAGTCAGTCAGCCAAATAGCCATTAGCCAATCAATGGTAATGGTGCCCGTGGGCCGTGGCACGGTGTTTCGTTCGTTTTCGGGTTAACTCTGCTCTTACTGAGACTGTTCTAGTTCTACTGTTGAATCAAAGAAAGTTGAAATTGAAAGCTTTTAGCTTAGCTGGCTTAGCTTAGGCTTAGGCGAAGACTCAAGTCAAGATTATTTATTACTTGATCTGTTTCTACTATTTTCAGTAGATATTGTTATTCACTTGTAACACCATAAGAATCTTCTTTAAGAGCCTGCCTGAAAGTTAATTATTCCATCACATTTACGGAAGCTGCAAAATGAATTCCATTGAAGGTAGGACCAATGTAGAAAATGTAGTCAAGGCTAGTTCTAGGTTACTGTCAGAATTTCCTTTTGTTCACAGATAAAGTAACATATTGTAACAATTATATCGAGTAGTAATGGTTTATTTTGATTACCAACCCTTACTTATTTAAGTTATTTAGGCTATTTTCCAACAGCATAAGTTAACTTAGCCACTTTACAAGGAAAAAAATACATTCACAACTTGAAATGACAGAAATAAATAGGCCTAGGCCTAGCAGGCCTAAATAGTTACAGTAACAAATGATTAGTAACAATATACATATATACTTATATATATATTATACATGTAACTTATTATACACCTATCTTAATAAATGGCTCAGTGCATCATTATAACTTGTGTGAACCTGGCAATAACTCGGCAACAAGTAGTGTGCGCGCCTTAAAAAATCCATTGCTGGCTGTTTTCCGGAAAAATATGGCCGCGAACCACATTACCGATAACAGAGGACACTCTAACGGACATCACAGTATCAATATCATGTACCTGGGTAGTATTTTTACCACCTTAATCCAAATAAAAGGTACTTACAGTTTCTTAACGCTCCGAGTGTTAAGCGTATCAACGCACAACACACCCGCCGTGGTGTTAACTTATGTGTCGCTTTTGCAACACACAAACATCGTTTACGGCGAAGGCTCTGGGTCTGACTGAATCAGATTGAACTGGATCGAGATTGGTATCGTTGTTTTCGGCAGATTCTTAGCTTTCTCCTGATGTCTGTTTCTAGACGCTTTTCATTTTAGTTCCGAAAATATTGTAGCATTATAAGAAGGTTTTGAAGGGCTGGTTGATGATCCTGAAGAAGCAGGTAGGTAGTGATATTGATGTAAATCATCGGCCAGATTCCTAGCTATGGTTAGGCTATGCATTCTTAGCTAGGTAACGCTAAATGCTAAATGTACAAAATCTGTTTTTCTTCACCCATAACTTATTTATTTGCAAATTTAAGTTACTTCCTTACATTATTATATTTTGGTAATCCTTATAAAATTTAAAACAAAGTGGCCATTTTAAAATATTTGTAGGCCTAGACTTCTAAATTATAAAAATTTATTGAGCGCAAATAAAAGTTTTTTTTCACTTAAGTTATTTTATAATTTTTTAGAAATGTTACCCCCACAAAAATTGTAGAAACATTTTTTTGTAATGTTTTATATATAGGTATTACATTGAAGCCCATAATTTCCCAAACAAAATGATATATAAAACAGTATACTTTACATTGTTTTTAAGTTTCTAAGATAAGTTACATTTTAATGAAACCCTACAATTGTGCAATAAATGGGTGGACATTAATACCATTACTATGGTGCTAAAAACATGCTCTATAGGCTAATAATTCTGTATCCAAATAGGTAGGCTACACACACACACATGTATATATTTTTTTTATCTTTGATTAACCTACCAAGATAATAGGAAGATGTATGGAAAAATTATATGCAAGTAACTTTTATTTAGCCTAAAAGTGTGATGTCAGTGTTATATATTCTAAAAGATTTGATTTCAACAATAAGTTAGGCCTACTTTTAAGATTTGTTTTTTTCTGATTTAGATACACCGATGAGTCCAACACAAGAAGATCAAGGAGAAGCAAGTGATGATGATAGACAGTCTGTGGTTTCAACATCGTCCAGAAGATCTCGTGCTTCAAACAAATCAGGCTCCGCATCCCCAGCAGCAAATAGATCAAGGTCGAATTCTGGATCATATGGTGGTTCCCAGGCATCGAAGTCCAAGTCTCGCTCTCCTTCTGGTCCAAGATCCCCATCTCCAGCACATTCACAGTCAAACGCAGGTTCAAGACACTCTTCAAGATCATCAAGTGTTACGTCTCGTCAATCACGTTCAAAGTCCAGAGAGAGATCTATATCTCCAGTAAAGAGGAATTCAAAGGATAAAGAACGTTCAAAGTCAAGATCACGTTCTCGATCTGTATCCAGAGCTAAATCAGGATCTCGTTCTCGATCCGTTTCACCAGCAAGATCAAGGTCACAATCAAGAGCCAGGTCTGGTTCACGATCTAGATCTGTATCTCGCGCAAAATCAGACTCAAGATCTCGATCTGGGTCTAGAGCTAAATCAGGTTCAAGATCTCGTTCAGGTTCACGAGCTAAATCAGGTTCAAGATCTCGATCAGGCTCACGAGCAAAATCTGGTTCAAGATCTAGATCAGGTTCACCTGCTGGCTTGAGATCGGCATCTAGAGCTAAATCAGGTTCAAGATCTCGGTCTGGTTCACGAGTCAAATCAGGTTCAAGATCTCGGTCAGGTTCTCGAGCAAAATCAGGTTCAAGATCTCGTTCAGGTTCACGAGCTAAATCAGGTTCAAGATCTCGATCAGGCTCACGAGCAAAATCTGGCTCAAGATCTCGATCAGGCTCACGAGCAAAATCTGGTTCTAGATCTAGATCAGGCTCACGAGCAAAATCTGGTTCTAGATCTAGATCAGGCTCACGAGCAAAATCTGGTTCTAGATCTAGATCTGGTTCACGGGTAAAATCCAGGTCAAGATCAAGATCTCCAAGAGCAAAATCTGGTTCAAGATCAAGATCAGGATCACGAGCAAAATCTGGATCCAGATCACGGTCAGGATCAAGAGCTAAGTCTCGATCAAGATCAGGATCACGAGCTAAATCAGGTTCCAGGTCACGTTCCGGTTCAAGAGCTAGATCACGATCAGGATCAAGGGATAAATTAAGGTCAAGATCTGGATCCAGAGCTAAGTCAGGTTCAAGATCAAGATCGGTGTCCAGAGCCAGATCCCGATCCCGTTCCCGATCAAGATCCAGATCTGGTAGTAGATCTCGTTCAGGTTCTCGAGCAAGAAGCGATGAAGGTAAGTTAACTTTTACTTAATTAAAAATACTGTATTGCAAGCTGGGATTAGTAAAAAGAAAACTTAAATTTTTTTAAGATTTTGTAAGCAAAAACAGTACAGAGATTGGTTAGTTCAAAATTTGAAGTAGGCTAACCCTATTGATTTAAATTGCTATAGCCTACTATCCTTATTTTTTTAAATTAACACAAGCTGTTGGAGCGTCCTAGACGTACGGGAATTGAGTGGTCCGTGAATTAAAACATGTGGTCATTGTTATTTTTCCCAACCTTTTTTCAAAAAGTTGACTAGTAAAATAATTTCCATAAGCTTTCTTTTGAAGTGAATCGTAAACATCAATGGTTATAGAATCTTACTTATTTCCTATAATCAATGACAAAATCACAGAGTAAATAAACTAACCTCATAGTTATAGAATATTTTTATATTCAACCAGCTGTTAGTTAAAACACATTATATCGCACTAAAAAACCTAAATAATTCTCCATGTACATTTATTAAAATGTACCCATTAAAAATTTCAGTTCTGCATAGCTTGACAATCGAGTTAGTGAGGTTTACTGTAGGCTAGGTATTTTGTACAACACTATTTTATCTGCCGTATTTAGAATGGAATCATTCCATACCTATCATATCCTTGTTCTTCATATTCTTAATGTGTTCTTTTTGTGTTGTTTGTATAAACAGAGGTAATTGAAGAACGCAGATCAGTTGTAGACAGTGAATCAGAAGATGAAAACAAGAATGATTTAAAAGGTAATTAATTTTTTTCATTTATTTTTTTGGTAAATCTACTGTATTAAAACAAAACATCTAGCCTATTCCTCTTTTAAAAAGAATACTATATCACTTCTTAAGAAATATAAAAAGTACATCATTGCTATTTGTCTAATAAAGTAGACCGTAAGTATTACAAAAATATATATATAAAAACACAATAGGCCGATGTAATTTACAATTTTCATATTTTTTTTGTATCTTTACATGCACTGCAGGTATTTATCTCAAAACAGACTTTTTTGTGTTGTGCTGTATGTCAAAAGTTGCTGGCATTTAAAATATGAACTTATTTTCAAAAGCAAGGAGGGAAGCATCCAACCATACATTAACTACTTCAGTTGTTTGTACTGAGTATTTAAAGGCTTGGAACCTTTCCAGGCAAGTTTGGCAGGTATGGGGTGGTTAAAAAAATATTGCGAGCAATCGGTTGAAGTGGGTCGGAAATATAGCCTGACCTGGATGGATTTTTAGTTCTACTTTAGCTGTATTTTTGCTATCCTCGCAATAACTGCTGTTACAGAAAAGACGTATGTAATCCAATATTTTACATTATTTGGCACTGTCGTCAACAAGCTAAATTAACGAGTATCTACTGTACCAAGTGCTTTTTTCCATTTGTGTAGAGCATTGACATCTCTCATACTCCTTTCTATAGAGAATCGAAAGCCAAACAAAAGAAGTATGGAAGACGAGTCAGATGACGAAGCTCGGGTGGCTACCAAAGGAAAGAAGAAGAAGTCAGCCGTATTGTCTGAGTCGGAAGATGAGGACGACGGAGGAGAGAAGAGAAAGCGAGCTGTACTTTCTGACTCCGAGGGTGAAGAGGATACCCCAAAGGTGCAGTAGTTTGGTGTAGTAACATAGTTATGGAAAGACAAAAGATCTTGAGGTTGGCTAACAGAAAGTTGGGTATTGGAATCAGCTTGTGATTTTCTACTCATAACTTATGTAGCCTACTTGAAAATATTATGTGTTTCAAATTTAGAGAACAAAGTAAGCTTTTTTAAAACAAAACATTTTGAACTCGTTTTTAATTTGTTAAAAAAAACATACCAGGGTAAAAGTATTAAAAATATACCTGTGGTAACACTTGGTTATTTTTTAAGTGACTTAATAATATTATTTTAATCTTGTGAGTCTTCAATCAGGGCCTGACGATGATCAGAGTGACTGGTCAAACTTCATCTTAGTAACTTCTTTTATTCATATTTATTTAATAACATCTTTTATGCATATTTATTTAGTAACATCTTTTATGTAGCCTATATTTGTAAATGTTTACAGTACAAGTTAAAATATGGAAAAGTGTTGAAGACGTATGTTATTCATAATATTATTCAACAGCCGATATATATCATCACTGTTTTACAGAAAGTGAAACGAAAGATTGGATCGGACTCAGAAGACGAAGGTGTACAGGAAGAGGGGAGAGGAAGTGAGAAGGAAGAAGAGGGAGAAGAGAAGCCACCAGAAGAAGGGGAAGGGGCAGAAGGCGGGGAAGGCAGAGAGGCAGCCGTGTTGCCTAACATATCTGACGAGGACTCGGATAATGATAGGCCTAGCAACAGGTTAGTCTGGGCTGTCAAACATGTTTAAGTTGAATGGTCATAGTTAACACCCCTGCTGCAGCAATCCTGACTAAACAATTGATGTGCATATCGACCTATGCTTAGTTTTATGATTTTCTTCTGACTTCTTGCGAGCGCCCCCCTGAGGAGGTAGGTAGGCCCTAGCGTATTATAGCATTGAAAAATAATAATAAATTAATCTTTGGACAGCTGTCAATTTTGTCTCGGTTGTCAGTTTGAGTTTGTGTTTGTGGCATTGTATTTTACTAACAAAGACCTTTAATTTGATGTGTATATCAACCTATGTTTAAATTTAAGATTTTCTTATGACTCCTTGCCCCTCTGAGGAAGAAGGATCACGAACAGATTGCATTTTTGGCTTCTGGGGACATAAAACGTAAATCAGGAATCAGGACTGCCAGTTAATTGAGTGCTATGCTTGCTTCACTTGCATGGATTTTCATTAATGGAGATTTTAAATGGGATACAGAAACGGTGTTGCTCACTTAAAAACCACGTCCAAATTGCTATGGTTATCGTTATATGAATAAAAATTAAAACAGTTGGTTTTTGGCCTCTAAAAAAATCGAATAACATGATGATTCAGAACTTTACCAGGACTTTATATTGTGAAAAGATTCTACATTATGAAAACAGTTTCATTCTTTACTTTATACCATTGAATCTCTTATACTTACATGATTATGCAACAGCCAAACATGAGTAATACTTGTGACAATGTCCATTATCGTTTAATCCCATGACCTTTAATGTTTAATTTACTCAAACAGTGTTTGAGGTAAGTTATGTGTGAAGTTTGTCATAGTTTTGCTTCCATTCGTAGGGACGCTGGAGCTTCTGACTTTGAGTTGATGCTTTTGAAGAAGAAGGAGGAAAGCTCAAAACGCAGGAAAAGGAAAGACATTGACCTCATTAATGATAATGATGACATCATCGCTCAATTATTGTCGGACATGAAAAATGCTGCTGAGGTAAACTGGCTTTGTTTTTAGGTTTTGTTTCAAATGCTGATGTTTATTTATAGTCCTCGCCACCCTAAGTTGAGGCAGCCCAAGGCCGCATGGCGTATATCTAGTGCGGCCTTAGGCTGCCTCAACTTAGGGTGGCGAGTACTATAAAGGTTTTCCAACTTGAATGTGATTGTATCATTCTAATTCCAATTTAAATTTGTCTGCCTCATAATTCTGTATCAATTAATGTTGACAAGATCAAACATTTGTTCAAATTGTTGTCATTGTAAAAGTTTTTATTTTAGTAGAATTTCAAACACTAACACTATTAAGGAAGGATTTTGTTTTACTACTTTTATTTTTACTTTTGATAGATATGAGCATCTGGCTATTTTTCCAAGTACACCAGACTTCAGATGATTGCTCAAAATATGTCTACAAAACTACTGACTACTTAACTAATTATTATTATTATTTAATTCCAAATTATCAGATGCCCTATTATACTGTATTGACATATTCATTCTGCCTATTTATCTTTTGATCAATAGCATTACTGTATTTTTTTCTGTTTTGAATGTTTTCTTGTTTCTCAAGGCAAAGTTAAAGTCATCATACCACTTAAAACTTATTTTAGTTAATTAAATGAAAGTCAGCCGTGTGTGGATGATAATTTTTTCCCTGTATTTTATGATTACTAAAGAATGGTTTTAAAACTAGATTTGGTCTATTGTGTATTTTTTCAAACTTGCTAGTAAAATTTTGTTAAATCAAATGGTTGGCATTACAGGAGGACCGCAAGTTGAATCAATTAGGAAAGCCAGCAATCAACAAAATTGCAATGTTGCCCAAGGTAAGGGACTTATCTCACTAGATCTGTTAGGCCGTAACACTTAGGCTATTTTTATAGGGGTTTAAAATGCATTTTGACGTTGGTTCTAACTATTATTATTTGGACGTTTCCAACTTTTCTTGTGTTTAAAATTACACAACGTTTCTGGAGGAGTTCATAAACTTTGTGTAGTTTTAAACACAAGAAACGTTGGAAAAGTACAAATAATGATAGTATCCTAATACTTATTTTTAGAAGAATATTCAAATGTTATGAGATCATTTTAAGTAATTTGAAAATTTATATTTTTAATACTTAGGCCTACATTTGTACAAATGTAAAATATCATGTTTTGGGTGAATAAACCACTTGAAAACATTGAGCCAAATCAATCAAGCAAAGAATATCAAAGCAAAGTTGAACCGATAAAGTGCAAGAACTAACTGTAAACTGTACTGATAATTTAAATATTACTGCAGACATTTTCCATCACAATTAGATAACCAAATTTTAATGATGCTTCCGGATCCGATCCCATCCTCATGTGAGAAAGATCCCAAATTAGCAGACAAAAACTACAAAAACGTCATGTAAACAATTTTTTTACTAATCGAGACAGAAAATGTCACCAATATCCTCTTAAATTACCAAAAATAAGCTTTAAGCAATGAAGTGTACTGATATGGCTCAGTTGGTAGCGTCACAGACTTCGGGCCCAAGGCAGTGATGTCGTGGGTTCTGATCCTGGTCTCTGCCACTAAAATTTATCAGTACAGTTCACCTTCGTACTGTACTGGCTCACCCCTTGCTATGCTGGATACGCACAGATCTGTAGTCTATGTGGACGGGCAAATGCAAGGTTAAAAGAGGCCGCCAACCTCTAAAAAAATATATATATATACATATTTAATTTATATAATTCGTGTTTTATTAAATAAAAAAAGAATATAAAAAAAGGGTAGACTACCCATGTTATTTTATATATTATTTATTATATATACAGGGTGAGTTTTAATTGTCCCCCCCCAACTTTTTTCTACATTTTTTCAAATATCAATTCCAGACCACTTCCAAACATTGTTGGGTAGTAAGTACTTCATTTTTACAAGGTGGTCATTTCCGGCCGCCATCTTGGATCCGCCATATTGGATGCAAAATATTTTTTTCAAATGTAAAGGTGGGGTTGTGACCCATTATTTCGAACTTGATTTTTACCCTGATTACAATGCCGCAAACCGTTTTTAAAAATCTTGATTCATTCTAAAGTTATGAGGCCTTTTTAAAACTTTATTTTAGCCCATTTTAACATTGTGCATTTACAAACTAAGACCATAATCTCAAAATAGTGCTACATAAAGAGAAGTATACACTACCAGTTATTGTAAAACTATTTTCACTTATTTATGACTGATGTATTTTTTTCGGCCGCCATCTTGGATCCGCCATTTTGAAATGGGATAAATTATTTTAAATATGAAGTGTGTGTTGTGACACATCATTTCGAACTACTTTTTTAAGCTAAACTCAATGCCGCTATCCATTTTTTGTTATCAAGTTTTATTTATGAAACATTGCAATATTTTTGTTAAAAATGTTAATATTTCAAAATCAAAATATGAAAATGAAAAATGGATCATGGAATTGACGACAGCTTAAAAAAGTAATCCGAAATGATGGGTCACAACACCCCTTTTATATTTAAAATAATTTATCACATTTCAAAATGGCAGATCCAAGATGGCGGCCGAAAAAATACATCATTCATAACCAAGTGGAAATAGGTTGGCAATGACTGGTAGTGTATACTTATCTTTATCTAGCACTATTTTGAGATTATGGTCTTAGTTTGTAAATGCACAATGTTAAAATGGGCTAAAAATAAAGTTTTAAAAGGTCCTCATAACTTTGGTATGAATCAAGATTTTTTTAAACTGTTTGCGGCATTGTAATCAGGGTAAAAATCTAGTTCGAAATAATGGGTCACAACCCCACCTTTACATTTGAAAAAAATATTTTGCATCCAAGATATGCACCATCCAAGAGATGCGGATCCAAGATGGCGGCCGGAAATGACCACCTAGTCAAAATGAAGTACTTACTACCCAACAATGTTTGGAAGTGGTCTGGGATTGATATTTGAAAAAATGTAGAAAAAAGTTGGGGGGGGGGGACAATTAAAACTCACCCTGTATATAATTTTAGTGGAAGGACAAACCAATGACATTGCTGCATTAGTTTCTCAGTCTGCCACAACCTCACCTTAGATTTCTGTGAGGATAGCAGGCTTACCTGAATGGTCCAATTTGGTCCCAGAAACACATACCATACACTATACCCAAGTATAGATTTTTTTACTGTTACTAACAGCATTTCCAACTATAGAAGGTATGAATTGAAGAGAGTTTGTCTTCCTAATCTTTGGCTTGCCACAGGTAATGAGTCAACTGAAGAAGCATGATCTTCAGTTGGCCTTCATCGAGCACAATGTACTGAGTGTGCTGACAGATTGGCTTGCTCCTATGCCTGACAGGAGTCTGCCTTCGCTGAGGATTAGAGATAGTGTTCTGCGATTGCTGAAGGAGGTGAGTCAGTGACTCAAATATACAATGACTGCTGAGTCATTGAGTGAAACAATCATATGGCTCTGTAACAGTGTAAAGAGAAATTTCTTACAGCTTTTTTTCAAACTTTGTATATCATAAATTAGTTATACATTTAGTAAATTTATAAACTTCCCCAAAATCAACAAAAACTTTGTGTAAGACAGATTACTTCTTTATCTCTACTTTAAATTTTCAAAAAAATGTACGCTAGGTCCTATTTCATTATTAGGCTGTAGACTTATCTTCTGATCATTTTTATATCAACAAATCAACACCTAAAAATTATTGTTCAAAGGTTTATTCCAGACATTTTCCATCACAGTGGTAAAATAAATGATATACAACGTTTCGGAATCTTGAATCTGATCTTGTCCTCAGGTGAAAAAACTTAACTAGGCTAACACATTAAACCTAAGACCTAGGGCCTAAGAAATTATTTAGTAAAGATGGCTTTTGGCCAGATTTTTCGGATTTTGTGTTGAGTAGGATGAACGACAGGATTACTTTACTGATAGAGAAAAAACTAGCTGAAAGCATGTTACATAGCAATTAATTTTTTCTGGCCTACAACTATAATAGTTTCCAATAACTCAAAGCTCAATGTGTTTTCCTGTGTGTGTTTCATACGTACTTTTAACTATTTTATCAGTAAAGAAAGCCTAATGTTCGTGTTCTCCAGGAGCAAATTCTCAGTACCAAAGTAAGCTGCCTCATCTTATCATTCTTCCAAATGCGTCCAGTTTGGAGAAAGCCAGAAAAAAAATTGTTTACTACAATGACGAGGCTAGAGAGCCCGACCAATTTAGTGCAAAGTGAACCAAATTTTATATTTTCCCTCTTAGTCTGTGATTATAAGGTTTGTATTATATTTAAATAAATAATCTAATTCTTCAAAAACTTTTGTTATTTAAATTGGTTGTTGTTGCTAATTGTGTCTATTTCCCAGTTCCCACGAGTAGACCAGTCAACATTGAAACACTCTGGGATTGGTAAAGCTGTAATGTATCTGTACAAACACCCCAAAGAGACTAAGGAGAACAAAGACTTGGCTGGACGGTTGATCAATGAATGGGTCAGACCTATCTTCAACCTATCTACAGACTTTAAAGGTAATTAATGTGTTACTATTTTTTCCTCTTTCCAATGTCATCCTATGAGATTTGGTGCCTAGATTTAGAATTGGTCATGGAGAAATTTCACATTTCATGAATTTTAATTTATAATTTATTGCTGGTTGGACCTGATTTGTATAAAATGTTTATGCAGTAGAATGCTACTTCAGAGTTCCATGTATCTTGGAATTTTGAATGTCCTGGAAGTCCTGGAACAGAACATAAACTTGACCTTTCGTCCTAAATCTAAATGTTTTGCCCTGGAGTTTCATAAATTGTCTTGAAATTTTTAATGAATTTTTACCTCACAGTATTTTTTTCTCAAAATGTAGATTTTTGTTTTGTCAGATTTAAGTTATTAGTTTCATATTGCAAACCAATGTCTACAATGTAGTTTGTTAGCATGTAGTTGGCTGTTACAGTAGACTCCCTCTTATCCGGACACCTTTTAACCGGACTACACTCGGCGGAAATGACATCTCTTTAACCGGACAATTTTTATCAGCACATCGGAATAACCGGACTAGATCGGCAGGAAGTGGGTGGTATTGAAACGACTGTTCTCGTGGGAAAGATTTGAAACCAGTGATTACGTGTAAATACAATGCTCTCCTAAAAGTCAAATACTGTATACAGTATGCATTTAAATGGTCCGTTTTAACGAGTTTTTGGGGACGTCGCTTTGCCGGAAAAACTGTTATCCGGACTGGTCGAAAACCATTCATTGAATCCAGAGAGATACCTCAATGGACTTTTTGACTTACATAATGGATTTAATTGATCCCAAGTACAATAATGTTTAAAGCTGTAAATTAAAATAACCATCATCTAGGTCAGGATCCTGGAGATTCTATGGCTATTGAATTATACTGTACTCGAGTTTTGATTACCGGGAAAAATACCTTAAATCAGTGTTGTATAAGACTGGGAAACTTACATTTTTAAATCATCGTCACCAATAGCCTACAATCGAGGACTCCACTCTTTAAAGGGCATTTCGATGACTTTTGGAATCAAGTAAATAATCACAACTGCAGTGGGTGATCTACTTGAGTTTTGGTAACCGGGAAAAATACTGTAAATCAGTGTTGTAAAAGACTGGGTAAATTAAATTTTTAAATCATTGTCACCAATAGCCTACAATTGAGGTTCCCACTCATTAACGGCGTTTAGATGGCTGTTGTATCAAGTAAATAATCACAACTAACTGCAGTGGGTGATCGCGGGTGTTGCTGCGATCCCGGAAGACCTTTACAATTTCGTTGTGATCGTTACGGTGTTTTTTTCTGCTAAACTCGCTTTTCCAATATGTCACTTTCGGTTTTGACTCACCACTATTGCGCTGCCATCATTAGACCATACCTCCAACAGGCCTATGGGCCTTATCTGGCCTGAAGTAGCCTACATGTTGTCTCCATTTCCCGAGCATCCCCAATCTCTTTCAACAGCAAAAAAGCAATGCTCCACACTAGTTTAAGTTTAGTTTAGTTAGAGTTTAAACTAGTTCTAACCTACAAAACAATACATCCCTCACTTTGACACTCCATTCCCACCAAGCTATACTACTCAAATCAAATCCATGTGGCCCTGCGGCACCCTTTATTATGACACATTACACATAAAGTATCCCCTGAAACGACTCAGAAGGTCCACGACAGTCCCCAGAAAACAGTTTATTTGTGTTTGTAAACACCCTTACAGACTTACTCTCACTTTAATGTAGACGAGATGGATACTGCTGTGCGGCTCATGAACATTGACATTGAATCAATAACTCATTGGGCCACAAACAACGGACTTAAACTCAACATTGACAAAACTCAAGCAATGATTGTTGGCTACCCCAGATTAATGACTAAAATAAACTTACTCACTGCACCACGGCTTAGCTTTGACGGAAAAGACCTTATCTACTGCGACAAAGTGAGAAACTTAGGACTCACAATGAACAAACATTTGAATTGGTCTGACCAAGCAAATTCCACTTGTAACAGGGTCTTTGGGACTATTCACACCATCAAACGTTTTGCAGACTACCTTCCACTAAACTTGAAAATCATGTTAGTAAAAACTCTCATCTTGACTCATTTCAACTACTGTGATGTGGTGATCAATGACATGACTAATGAGGTTTCTAGCAGACTTCAGCGAGCGCAGAATTCCTGTATCAGATTCATATTTGGCCTTAGACGATATGACCATGTCACTCCCTATTTCAACCTGCTTTCATTAATGAGGCTAAATGAACTTCGGGAATTTCACACCCTCCGTCTTCTACACTCCATTATCAACAGTAAAATTCCTAAGTATTTATCAGATAACTTCCATTTCATCTCTGACATCAGTACCCGTTCCACTCGTAGAGGCTCTCTTCTTTTATCTACACCAATTCACCGGTCAACAGTTTTTAATAAATCTTTCTTAGTATCTGCAATTCGAATGTGGAATTTTCTTCCTGACCATATAAAATCCATAGAGAACCGTGCAAGGTTTGGGGCAGAGATAAAATCTATGATTTTGAGTAGCAGGCATGAATGAGTCTCTGGCGCTGGTGTGGCGGGTTGTTGGCGGCTTGTGTGAATGGACTTTTTGGGTTTAAATTTAATTTAATTTAATTTCAACATTTTTATAATATGGTACCTTAGATTATTTAATTTTACTTATAAAGTGGATAGTTTATTTATGTTTTTAGAGGTTAAGTGGTAGAGAGGACTTGCTAGTCCTAACTTCGCCTCTTAAATAAAGACATTTTTCATTTCATTTCATTTCATTTCATTTCATTTCACCCTGTATTATCTTGTTTGTGACCTTGTATGATGTTGTGCAGCGATGAGTAGAGAAGAGAGACATCAGCGAGATCTGGAACAGATGCCGGAGAAACGACGAGGCTCTGTAGACGAACCTTCCCCCACCAAGAAGGACCTCAACAAGGCCATCACTGGCGAGGGAACGTGAGTATAATCTGTTTACTCAATGGGGTTTTTGAATGTCCTTGTAGGTCAAAAGAAATATGTCTTCTAAACACTACTCGGTGTACTTACACTTATACTATAGTAAAAACATGAATACACACAATTTGTTCCATTGACATTCGATTTCAACCAGTCATACTAGTCAGTGGGAGGATGAAACCTTTAACTTGAGTTTCTAAGTAAAAAAAAAAACAGTTAGTGTTATTTGAGTTTAAGGCTGTGATGACTCGTCAAATTCAAGAGTCAATGTAAGATCTTAAACATATAATTTATATACTATCTTGTAAATTATAGTAGAAGTGTAAATTAATTATGTTGATGTATTTCAATCCGTTAAGTTGCACCCACATATATTTTAAATGCTAATCAAGAAGTTATGAAGTAGGCTACTCAAACAAAAGTAGCTATTTTAAATTTGTTGTTGAGTTCTACCAATGCTGTTCTTTTCTTTTTACAAGTAATTAAAATGTAAATTCAAAGACAAAAAGTTTGTTTTATGCATATTTTTGTTGCAGTATTTTACGCCCTGGAGACAAAGGTTGGGTTGGAAGAGCCAGAGTTCCGATCCCTTCCAACAAGGATTACGTCGTCAGGCCCAAGTGGAAGAGTGATGTAGACATGAGCAAAGTAAGTAAACTATAGAGGGCAACTTGCTCAGTTAATGTGTACTCAACTTAAATACAAGAGTTGGTTTAAATAAAACTAGCTGTACCCACGGGCTTTGCCCCGTTTAACTTCATAAGTATTCGCATGGCTCAATCACGTCCTGGTTGAAGTTCGTTTGCTACAATAAGTCTTTCCATCAGTTTAACTTGTAGAAAAAGAGAAAAAAATAGTTGTTTAATTTTTTTCCATCCATCAAAATTTGTATCAACAATAGAAAGAAAATATAGTGCATTCATACACTTTCATACTGTACTGAGTGATCCACTTGTAGTACAGGCAATTATTACTGTTTTTACAGCTAATAAGACACATTACAGATACCTAATTGTTTATGGCTAAAAGTCACTGGAAAGCTACAGACTATTCTATTAAGTATCAAATAGAATTAAATTTGTATTAAATATCAATGTTTTTTTCAGACCTCAAAGAAACAAGCTAACAGGTTTGAGAAACACTTGAAGAACTTCATTGATACTAAAAGACTCAGCAAAGCTAGGCGAGCAGTGGAAATATCAATTGAAGGTCGTAAAATGTCTTTGTAGTCTGAGATAAGGCTTCAAAGACTTCGGCTCGTCTGTGATAGCTTGACTCAACAACTATTTTCTTGCGTCTTTACACTTTTAAATATATTTTGATTAAAGTGTAGAATTTAAAATATATTTTGATTGAAGTCTGGATTTAAGGTGAATTATTATTTCTTATACATTAACTAAGATATTTGTAAAATGTATATTAACGTTTGAAATAATTGTAAGCTTTGTATTGTATGAATAGTCTTAGGCTTAATGTAATGATTTGTTTAAATAAACGTTGTAAATAGAAGCTGACGGTTATTTTCCCATTGCTCTTCTGTACAAAGATATAGTTTTGATGTGTTATCCTCAATCCACTTTATCATTTGATGACTAGAGGGAGGGCTTTGGATCTTAAAAAATGTTAAGAACCAAACAATACTGCTCTGAAACTAATCCATATGGGAACTATCGAATCTGATCCAGAGGTAGTCTGCTGTACTCAAGTCTTCTGGACTAATAAGAATAAGACATTTATTTGTCATTCAGCAAAATTACAAAATTTGCAATAGACATCGTAACATAATTAATGATTTACATGGATTAATTTGCAGCCTTTAATTTAGATACACATCACAGTAAAATCATGGAATGTTTGAAATCAAAAATTATACTAGGCCTGAAGAGTCAATTTAAAAATTTAAAAATTCATCCGTTGTGGATTCAATTTAAAACCAATCAACAATCTATTATGAAATGCTTACTGAGGCATCTTCTGAAAAGTCAATGGTAACTTGTTAAAAAGTTTTACACCTAATTTAACATAATAATTCATTGATTTAGTTAACCTAAACCTTGGTTCATCTAACCTTGCATCTAAACATGCATCCGTGAGGCAAGTAGGGACGGAGCTTACAACTACACGGTTCTGGCGACTGTGAAGAACCGTACCGTCTTGCAGCTGTCCACTGACTTTGAACCAGATGGTTGTCGCACCGTGGCCGTGCGTTAGTGAGGCATGAGGCCTTGCACACTATTCGATGTTTATTCGGACGTGAGCCCGTCAGCCCTTGTCAATTGTATACTGTTTATGTGTATTGTGACTGTGTGTATCAGTTCATCATTTTCAGTGTCGTAACTTTTTAGTGTGAAAGAAAGAATTGTTTGGACATGGAATCAAATTGTACGGCTTATAACTGGACAGAAAATATCATGTAGTGAGAAAGGAGTGTAAGAGAAGATGTTTTGATATCTGTTTGTACCCAACGTCACTAAATAAAAAGTGTATGGCATGTTTGTTCAAGCAGCATTGGCCAAAATTACAATATGTGTGTCATATGCCATAATGGCTGTCCAAACAAAAGGGGAAGACTTCAATGTAAAATGTATTTTCATCTCTTTTAATGCCATTTACCAAAATAAATTCAAAGATAAAGTCGAGAATTAACTTATCAAGCTTTTAAGCCGGATTACACGATGCTTACAACGATGCTACACGATGCTTACGGTGTTGGTGAGACAATTGTCGGAAGACAACTGACTGGCATGAAATTATTGGCTTTGTGTAAACACTTTGGCCCAATTGCCTTGCCAACTGCCGTAACAATTGCCCGGAAATTCAGTTGTCTCCGTGAGTAGACTGAGGACAAGAGCTGCGCCCAGCGAGGCCCCCCACCCCCTGAAAACCCAGTTGTCACGACAATTGATGCCATGTAAACTGTGTAGGCCAGTAGTGCTGTCTTGTCTTTTGCCAGTAGTACTCTAGATCACTGTTAAATGCCTTGGCAATTGTTGGACACATGTTAATAGGAAGTCGGAAGAAAATCAAAACTGTGTGGATAGGTTAATAAGCTAATAAAATTAAAGGGTTTGGTAGAATTGCATTGGGATTAGTAGAATACATTGCCTCAAATTTGAGCTCAAAATAACAATTGAGTAAAAAATTGCATTCGTTCAAAGATTCAAAATATGTTTGAACGGCTGCCATTTTTGACTCGGTAGGTAGTTCGTTTGATTTTAAATTTGCGGCATTGAACTCTACTAGTAAAAGCCTTTAATTTGGTGTGCATATCAACTTAATAATGTGTTAAAAAAATGATTCTAATGCCCAGTAACTGTGTACCACGTTTTAAAGCTCTATCTTTATTACTTTTTGAAATATTTAACTGTCCCAGGACTTTTTTCCACCCTGTGTAAGCCTAATATATTTTATTTCGTTTTGAATATCATTATGTTAGATGGTAAAAGTTCTTTTCTTTTACTTTATGTTATAATTTCTAAAACAATAAGCAGTGATATCACTTTTTTCCTAGAAGATGTTCACAAAATTTATTTTATTGAGTTAAAAGCAAAGCCAGGGTATGTACTTTTCTGTTACAAAAACCAAAAAGAAGTAAACCAAAACCATTAACTTAGTAGGTCTATAGAAAAACACAAGAATCAAGTTTTTCATAACCTAGAATTTGTGAAGAATTAACTAAAGAAGTGAAAATAAAAAGCAATTCAAAATGATAATTTTAACTTTATTTTACATTAAAATATTATTAATAACCTCATAACACAGTCAAAGTCCAGACTATTCAGCTTCACAGGGCTCTAGTACATAATACCTATCCATGTTCAGTTCCATTACTGTACACAACACTACCTGTGTCAAATTAATTCTTGTGTTTCATAGCTTCTTTTAACTCATCCACTGTATACTGGAGAAAACCAAGTTGAAGCTTTATATCTTCATTGTCCTTAAGTAACTTAGATATAGAAAGTCCCAAAACATTTGCCTGGCCTGGTATATCTGTTTCAATGTTGTATTGTTTAAGCAAACATTCGTCACACAACCAACCCTGATTGAACCAATTTTCCTTGCTGAAGTTGTGGTAAGAGCGTTGTGCCAATTTGCTCGTTATGCACCTCTCGTGAAATGCTTTGTTGCATGTATTTTTTAAGTGGTTAGTGCATTTGATTTTTACTTCTTTGTCAGATGTATTGCACGATGAGCAATGAGTGACTGAATTGCCCATGGTAAATAAACTTCTAGTTAAATGGAATTTTTTAAACTATTTAGATTTACTCACTTGCTGCGTTGGTGCAGTTCTAAGGTTAGTAAAAGCAGCACAGGAACTATCTGCAGTATTACACGGTGATAAAAACACTGTCATGCTCATGACTCGTCTGTGCTCACTCATCACTCATAAACCTGTACCAGCTACATGAAACCAATTGTTTGCTTAGGTGTGTTCATTTATCTCTGAATCATATAATAAGCAATTAAGATAGATAACAACACTTGAAACAGAACATAGGTTGACAAACAATGAATTTATTTATTACCACAGATCAAAATGAAACTAGTTTTGCTGGATACATTCAAGTACAAAAGTTATCTTCATGGAGCAAGCTTTATCTTTCCATGGCAGGAAATTGATAAGGGAATGATAGTGGAAACTGGAAACAGAATGTTTTGTTTTTGGTACCTATAAATTACAAATAAACACTCAATATCGTAATATTATCTCATAAAATATTATCATTATTGGGACATGGACAAATGCTGCGCTTTGATCTGAATTAGAGTTAAAGATTAGTGATGAAAGCGATTATGTAGTGTAATGAATGTACTGTAATGTAATGAATGGAGTTAAATGCTTTATTTAGATTTGTTTCCAAGATCAGATTTTTCTTAATCAGGATCACTTATTTATTAAATAAAAGGCTAACTACCAGGGTATGCTGTGGGTCCAGTGAGAAAAAAAAACTAAGTTCTCATCTCATGTAATTGTTCTTAAACTTTTTAGAAAATAATATATTTAAAATTAAGAGTTATTTAGTTATTAGGTTAGTAAACAAGTTTATTGATGTCCTTGAATTAATTTTAGAGTTTGCCTTTCTTTAACTTGTTGAAGACGTTTGTGTTATGAATGTATTTTAAAACAACATTGTTTGGAAGATACACTTCTTGAGTATTAATCACATAATGACTACTTTTGGTTTTTATTAAAATATGCAGCAATACTTGGATGATTCAATTATGGGTATTTTAGTTTTTTCTGTAAGGGTAAGGGAGCATTCCCAACCCTGGTCTTATTACTCATTACATATTATCTAATGTTGACATTTTCTTGGATGGTATCATTAATTGCCTGACACTAAGTTAGTACTAGCGTCTCATTTTCCCCTTCCAGAAACTGATGAGAACCTTTTCTGCGAAAGAGTGGGGGATTTGGGAGAGCCGCTCTAGTTGATTTAAGAAAATCTTTAAATTTATTTTATAATATTTTAGTTACAAAATTAACTTTTTAACTATAAAATTCATTAAGTTTTAGTTATAAAATTAAACTGTCATAACCTAACCTAACCAACCAAACTTGCTGATAATATAAAAAAGATATAAAATAAAAATCAAATGATAATATAAAAAATATATAAGTTAAAGTAAAAATCTAATGAAGGTTTACTAATTTAAAAAAAAGTTCTGTTCATAAATAAAATTATAAATGCCTCAAATTCTAACAAAAGATGTACAGTTAAGAAGTATTTGCAATCTAAGCAAAACCTTGGACAAAAAATGGACGGGATTCGAAATGGAGACCTCCAGATCACGAGTCCGAGACGCTATCAACTACGCCACGAACACCGATGGAATCATATCGTCTCGTTACGGTAATGGCGTTCCCTAAAGAGCAAAGTGACGTCACGCCCCCCACTCCTTATCTAAAGAGGTTCTCATCAGTTCCTGGAAGGGGAAACCAATACGCTATACTAAGTTAGTTGCATCTGGGTCCAGAATGAATCAACCCAGAAACCCTTAGATCGAGCACAGCAACCAGTCAGCTATACTGTGTCTGTTAACAAACAAATGTTTGTCTTCTAGATTTTGTGGTTATTTTACTAACTTACAAATTATTATGACAAAAACGGATATTTAACATCCTACTGGTTCTCCTCTACTATTATAACTACTATACTAATAAATACTATTTATAACTAAGAAATAAAGTGCACTCTCAAGAATTTAACCTAAAATTATACAGAAAATATGTGTTTTCAACGTTATGCCTACCTCATCCTCATCGGGGTAACATGCTAAGGTTTCCATCACTTGTCTTCTAACCTAATGAAGTACTTCCCCACATGAAGTACGACCTTATGTACTTAACAATACATTATTCAACCAATATACACATAAAATTTCTCAAGATTATGAGTTTATGGCAGAGTCGATTTATTGTTTTATATTGGTAGAATCCTCAATTCTGTTTCCCCTCACTTGCTATTTTGCCCTCCATTTCACAATTCCCTTCCAAACCTTGTGGACCTTACCCAACCTTACCTGGTATTGCTTCAGCTATTCTCCACGAAAAAACCAATTGTTCAGTATATTATAATTTGTAAGTAAAACTTAAGCATTTTGACGGTATTTAATGTAAAATGTATGTGTATGTCATTGACAAATAAAGAAGAATAGATTTGAGTATCAACAGTTGTTTGTATTCAACAGAAATTTGACAATTTCACATTAATGACATCCATAATCCAAAATTGCACTTGTAGTTCTTTTCCACTGCAACAATGAGTGAGTAGATGTGGTGTTGTTATTGAAATTGAGAATGTTGTTACATGATTGAAATGTTTATTGAATTTGGACTATGCTGGATATTAAAACCAAAGTTCTAAACACACAGTTAAGTATTGAGAATCGGCCCATTTGTAAAAATATCTTACTTTGTTTTCATAACATTTCAAATGCACTCAACTTGTTATCATTTATGTATTATAGAAAAACAAACTTGTTTTTAAAATTAATTTTATAGAAATTGAGTTTATAGACAATTTAGAAGTCAAAGTAATGAAAGACATTGCCAGACTGGGTCTACGAGGCAGGTGATTGAGGAGAATGGAGGAGCATTGTTGGTGAAGCTAGAAAACTTAATTTTCAGTGGCCACAGGGGTAAGTTTAAGTTTTTCAAACGAGTATCTCAGTCTTGACTATTATAGATGTAGGGCAGATAAATAGTCTGGTTTTCAAACATAACTCAGCAGAACAGCCACATTTTTATGACATCGGAGCACAACAGAAATGTATAGGTACCACAAATAACAAAGACAGATTACACCAAAGTGAATTTATTTATAAACAGTGGTCCTAAACAGCTAGCACAGGTAACGCTAATCAAATCTAAATTTACACTATTTGACCATCTTAGTGTAGCACAATCTTCAATTAAAACATAAGAAGTACATGCATATAAAATATATACAATATTTTGACTGAATTAACAAAATAAACTTATCTAATGAGAAGCTGTCAATGTACTGTAGTCTCTATTTCACCAAGGGTTCGGTTTTCCCCCACTCTTCCTTTCCTCCTTGATTCCTTCCTTCTTCCTATCCATATCCGGACTTGTCGACTGTCTTGGCCTCTCTCTATCGTAATCCTTCCTGTCAATGTAATCATCATCCCTTTCCTCTCCTTCGCTCAACGGTCCTGTGTGGCGCTTGTCTTCGCTCAACATTCTATCAATCCGCTCCTTGGCAGCATCCACTTTACGCATCGGACTGCCGTCGTCGTCATCGGACCGTGACATGTCTCTCTCATAGCGACGGTAGCGATCGTCACGAGGTTTGAAGTTGTTATGGAAAAACCTCGGTCGTCCTCTACCCCGCATCCGAGGGATGAAAGGTCGACCACCAGGTCTCCACGGGCCGCCCCTGGGAACAAAACTGACATGACATTACAGCAGTTTGTACTGTGTTTTGTACTGATTACTAGAACATAGTATCTCAAAGATTAGAAAAGTGATCATGTTCTTTTACTGACAAGATTCTGCTCACTGTTTTCTTACAAAATTAACATAAAAATCAATGATGAAAACAAAAACCCCATCGGCCATAACTTATTGTAAATGTAAATTAATTGTGAATGCATAAGGGAAATGACTATACCGTTGAGTTAATATAAATTTGTTTGTAAATAATTGCATTTTAGGCGATTAAACCCATGAGTGCTTCTACTTGTAAATGATGGTTTTTCGATAATGAGAATCCCGGTGGCAAACAATAGATACAAGAACACCAACAAAGCCAAAAACACACAGTGATGGTGATGTGATAAACAATAACTATTTTTTTACACCCAAATTTAAATTGATGCTTAAAATATTGATACCAAGACACAAGTTGTTGCCCAAAAAGATTAAGTAAAGCTTGTAAAACCTTGTCTGCTATAAACAACATTAAACAATTCCAAAGCACTATTCACCTGCCCCGAGGGAAGAATCCTCCAGGTCTAGTCTTGAAACCAGTCTGGAAGCGAGGTCTGTAGTAAGTACCTCGGTTGCGAGGGTAGCGACCAGGATACTTGTGGTAGCGGTGACGGTCGTCTGAGCGGCTGCGTGACCGTCTATGATAGTCCATGGAACGTGAACGACTGCGGGATCTGGAGTAAGATCTAAAAATAATTTATTTGGTTGGAATAACGGCTGACAAATACTTTCTTAGACTAAATAAATAAATATAGGATGGAGAGGACACAGCTAACTCACCTGATGAAAGGTTGCAGATGAGTCAAAGAAAACATAAAATCACACACATAATTTACTTAATATTTCGCCTCTTTCAGAGGCTTCTTCAGAAGTAGGCCTAGATGGTAGTTACAAAACAACCTTGGTTGTACAAACAACCTTGTTGTTTTGTAACTACCATCTAGGCCTACTTCTGAAGAAGCCTCTGAAAGAGGCGAAATATTAAGTAAATTATGTGTGTGATTTTATGTGTTCTTTGACTCATCTGCAACCTTTCATCAGGTGAGTTAGCTGTGTCCTCTCCATCCTATATTTATTTATTTAATCCAAGCTAAATGCTTTTTCCTAAAAACATAACCTTTCTTAGACTAAATAATTTCACAACTGAATTTTGAAATTGTTGCCACTAATTTGAATATTTCAAGAGTTTGTGTAGCTAATTTAGTAGAGCAAATCAAAGGCGTATAGGAACTTTAATTTACAACCCTTACAAAAGAGGCTTTGCATTAGTACTCCAATTATTTTAGTATTTCTATTCTAAAGAGGTTTTAACCTTGTATTTGTCTGTTCACATTGAACACCCATGTCCCTTTGTTTGGATCGAACCCATATTTTATTCAATGTGCCCATTATATGATGTTGAGTAGCCAGTGATAACTCTCCATGTATCAATTTCACTAATACAATTGGTACTGGCTACAATTGGTACAAGATAACCGGCTCCCCCCTTGCTTTGCTGGATACATACTACACACTGGCCACTGTGCTCCTTGTGGACGGGTAAATGCAAGAAAATAGTGGCTGCTAACCTCTATTAAATAGCAATTTTTTGTCAACAACTCACCTGCTACGATACGAGCCGCTTTCACTGCTGCGATAACGACGACGTTCACGATCACTGCGGTAAGACCCAGACTTGCTGCGGCTGCGGTCCTTGCGATAGGAGGGACTGCGGGATGAACTGCTTGAGTACTTCTTAGGCGGAGGTGAATCACTCGAGTACTTCTTGTGTGATCGAGACCTGCTGCGAGACCTGAGGAAGTCAAAATAAAATTGATCAAGTTATGATATTAGTGTTAGGGTTTGGATTACTTGAATCCACATCATAATCAGGCTGGATTTATTGTAATAAATATTTCTTTGATAAATCTCCTTTTTTTAATGTGGATGTTTTGATGATTCAATTAATGTTAAGCAGAACAAAATCTAAGGAACAAACTTAATTAAGTTATTAATAATTCAATCCCACAATGGATGGTTTCTCATTCCCGTAATACTTTGATTAGTTGTTAGATCTTACCAGCAGTTAAAAATATGAAAAACTATGACTTTTCAGTAATGTTTTGCTGTGGTAATATACTCTAGCACAACAAACACTAAATGTTACACTATACACAACAATTAGGATTTTTTGAGAGGATAGCAGGCTTACCTGAATGGGAAAGAGTCCAAACTGGCACAGGAAACACAAAACATAACTTTACACTATATACACAAAACATTAACTAATGTTTTGTGTATATAGTGTAAAGTTATGTTTTGTGTTTCCTGTGCCAGTTTGGACTCTTTCCCATTCAGGTAAGCCTGCTATCCTCTCAAAAAATCCTAAAAAATCTAGGCCCTTGTGCTCTATGCTACACCCTTATACACAACAATTAGGTTTATTCGGCATTTTCAACTTAAGAATTTGGCCTATGGTTTAGAGTTTTATGTTTCTGTGAAAAAAATAGACTAATTTTAATTTATGTAAGCCTGCTAACCTCACAAAAATCCTTTAAGCTTAGGCCCCCTAATGCTCTTATGTGAAATCGAATATCAGGACATGTTACAGTGTTTAACATTCTCTGAAACTCAAGAACCATTATTTATGATTTATTATAAATGGTTTATGACTTCTTATTTTATGAATTGTATAAATGCACTGAACAATTTATCTCTGCTTTGACTCAATATACAGAAAAACTAATGGACCTAATGCTTTTTTACTATGCCTTAAACTTTTTGTGGGACGGAAAAAATAAAATTAACGGTTTGATATTTTTTACATAGAATGCCTTAAAATTGCAAACAGTAGCCTTTCACTTTTAGTCTACCTTGAAGATCCCGGACTCCTGGCAGCCCTTTCTTTCTTCTTGGCCGCTCCCTCTGAATCTGAAGAATCACTTTCACTTACTCTGGGTCGCAGCTTACGTTTCTGTGGTGTGATGTCGTCTAATTTTTTCTCAGCAGCCAATGGATTTATACGGAATCTGTGGCATTAGAAATATTTTACATCATACTTAATTGATATAATTAAGGCACTGTAGTGTATAGGCAGTGTAAAAGTCTAATCTAATTAGGGGTCTGCGGGTCCACCAATCTTTCAGCCCAAGATTGGGTCGGCCAAAAAAATAATAACAATTTATTTTCAAAGAAAATAAGCACTATTATATAACTATTTTACTATACACCAATTACAATTATAGGCCTTATAAAATATAATTTTTATGTTAAACTGTACTAATTCCAATAATAGATAAATTAGGTATTTATGATGATGTAAATAATAATGCTAAAGTGTGAGGTTTTATACTTAAGAGGCGGGGAATGAATGATACATATTGCATGGAAACATAGAATTTTTATATTCTTCTTGCATGTTCTTGCCAGTCGACAGGCCCTAAAATTGTGAAACTTTAATTACTTCATTGGATCAACTTTTTATATTAATTTTCATTGACAACTTATTATGATTTAGCTATTTAGTTATTTTAACAGTTATGACAATCAGAAAGAAAGTCTTAATAAAAACTATCTTAGGCCCATTATACCATATATGACCCAACCCAAATTTGGTCCGAAACCCAAACACCAGAGTTAAAAACTGGTCCCGAACTTTAAAAGTCTGGCCCGTACCAACACAAAAATAAAATTCAAAATTGTATTTCCCTTGTTGTAACATTTGCTCAGCAATTATTAAATATAAAACATTAATTAACACATCACACACAACCTGAACAAATTGATTTTCTCCTAACATTTTTGTATAGGTGAAACTCATCAATATACAGGCTATATGACAGATTATTGCCAACATTTTCAATCACGTTAAGTAAAGGATACAGGTGTGCGGGGCTGAGATGTTTTAGAGCCGAGCTTTTATACGATATTGACGTAATGCCATGTAACGAATTAATTGGTCACAAATCAAATCTTGTTTTCTAAATAAAATTTAATGTTTATTCATGTTGGTATTGTGGTAAACAGTATTAAATTTAGTAAACATGAATTTGGTGTTATGAGCATTTATCACAATGTTATCGCAGTAATATCGAGATTATTTATTACTTGTCAACATGTTCTATAAAATTAATTTAGCGTAACATAAATAAAAGTGTAGCAAATGCAAGAAACACTTCTTACCCTCCCAACTTATCCAGGATCATCGGAGCCTTAGCCAACTGTTCTTCAACCTCTTTTTTCTTATCTGGAAGTGTTTTGGTTTCTTTCTCTTTGCTTGGTGTGATTGTCTCGCTCATGTAAATGAACCTCTTTTCTCCCACTTCATCCCAAGTATCTTTCTCCTCAGTTTTATCGCCTCGTTTCTTCAGTCTTCAGTGTAAAGATTAGGAATTAATGTTTACACCATACTAATGTTTCTACTTGTGTGTTTTGTGAATGTTAATGACAAAATGAATGATGAAGCATAACTATTTCAATATGTAAGCCTAAAAATGCAAATGTATTACTTCATTATGCTAGCAAAGCTTCCCTAATTGTGCCCACAGTGGAGGGTGCTTTTATTTTTAATGACTATGCGGGAGATTGGTCTTTTATTGGTGAGTTTATACAAAGTTTGTTTGGTTTTTCTCGTTTGTGTTCTTTTATAAGTGAAAACCCTAGAAGGAATTATTTCGCAAGTCTGACTAAAAATATGATACAATAGTTGTTTTTTTAACTGATGATAAATAATTTTTAGTCTGGAGAAAACTATTTTTATAGGCTAGAATATAAAAAAAAATGGAGAAAAACTTTAAAAAGCTCAAATATTAAATTATAAAAAAATACCAACAGTCCCTTGAATAGTTTCTTTAGACCTAAACCCCACTGAAGAATATCTGCCGACTAAGCAAATTTCTGGTTGAATTCTTCTCAGTTGGCTGTTGACAGGTGGCATAACAAATGTCTATCTATAAATGCTACATTTACTAAAATATGTGTTGCAAGTTATAATATTAAATTCAATTCACGTACATCTAGATAGAGATAAAGAAAACACAGAGATGCCATCAATTTTGTTTTCGGACAAGATTTAGAGCTATCCCTTAGTTTACAAAGACCAACTTTGCCACATGACAAAAAATTTTTTTTGACAAAGTAATAGAACCTTACCGATTTTGAGCTGAGCCAATCTGCATCTTGAACTTGCTCGAAGGTGGAGGGGCCCCAGATGGCAACGGAACATTTTTAGCTTCAGGAGGTCTTATTTGAGGGGGAGAGTCTTCAAATATGTCAAGTTTCTTCTTCTCTGTTAAAACAATAAGTTTTATATAACTAGGTTTCATTTTAATCATATAATTCTAGATCAAAATCTTGGGAAAAAATGTAATACTTATATTCAGTACAATAATATGGAGTTAAATTATAAAAATTAGGTGATTGGCAATGTTACGAATAGGTGAGAAGTGTTATTTAACAATAAATGGATCTGCCCAACAGATGTTTATATATTGTAGTTGTAGTGCTTTTGACTTGTAGTGTATTTGATACCAGGATTTGCAAGAGTTTTTAATTTCAGTCCTGGGTTTGGTCCCCTAACTTTGGAATGAAGCCTCAGAAATAATCGAGTAGTTCACCTAAATTTTACAACAAATAAATATTTTAAGAGTTTATGATGAAAACATAGGAAAACATGACTCACAAATTATCACAGAATAGTACTAACTCAACCTTAGCTCATAGTGAATTATAAACACAAAAAATGTACTATAATTTGGGAAAAATAAGTATTTTCCTGTTTAAATAGTTTCTAAAAAGGTTTCACCTTGTTTGGTGTTCGAGAGCAATTGGGTAACTTAAACAACTACTTTATAATCATTGTAATGAGTAAATAAGATAGGATTCTAACCAAGTTTCCTCTGCCTAGCCTCTTCCCTCAGTTCCTCTTCCAATAGTAGGACCCCTTTGGGAGAAGCTGCTTTCTTGGCTTGAGCAGCTGCAACTAGCTTCTCTACACTGCTGCTCTTCTCTTTCCTGAGGAGAGAACAGTGATATTGAAACAATGGTAGCCTACATTTCGTGAATTAAATGACATATAATAATGGTTTCCTCTTCAAGCTAAGATCTAGGACCAGTGATGTGTCGGTTAGCTATGTAATGTTTTAATACATATTTTAAGTTTGGTTGCCACTAGAAAAACAGTATTAGCTTTAGCAATCATAAAGTTGGTGTATTGTGCATTTATTATAGTCTAATGTCATCATGACAATAAACCTGCATGATCACGGAACTATCGTAATTAACACCCACGATAGTGACAAAAACGAGAGCATCTCCCTCAATCCCGAAATCTCTTAATCTTGGTGAAATTGAGAGCACCTCCTGCGATCACAGAGACTTCATTATTGTCTTCTGTGATCGCAGTGGAATTATTGCTTGCAACTGATAAACAAAAACTGACAATTTCCACTTATTCTCGATTTCAGTTTATTTTTGCTAAAACTGGTGAAATTGACATTATAAACTGACTCATCACTAGTTATGGTGCATGCACGCATTCTGTTACTGTAAAACCTCACCAAACGAGCATAGATCTAAAAGTTTGTTTAATATTGAATAAGTATTCTGACAAGTTGAACAATTAGCCTGATACATCCGGTTGGTAACACTTTCGACTCTTTTTATCGGCATTCCCGCTAAATTAATAATAGCTATTTCAGGGTATCCAGCGTTCCATCAAAATATAATTCAAGGACAATTCCAGGGTTTCCGGGTTCAAAATTTCCAGGGAAAAACTTGGTGCCCAAATAAGCACAGCTTACTTGTTTATGTACACCCTGCAGGTACAATTAAAACCCCTTTGGTGTAGTTCCAAGATAATTTATTGCAATCACAGCAATATCAATCATCTCATCAATCAATAATCTTATTTTTCGGTCAAGGCAAAATTTGAGTTGATTTCCTGCATGACAATATCCGTGATAATTTTCAGCGATAATTTTGCGGCAACCCTGTGATGATTTCTTGCGATCATGGCAACATGCATGATGATTGACATGATCGTTGCAGCATCAATGACGGATATCTGTGATCACCTGCAACGATCATGTCAACTCTAGTTATTTCCTACGATCGCGGTAATAAATGAGGTAAATATTTTGCCACAACGAGAAAGCTCATAATATTTATCAATTTTTCTACATTTATGATACATAATAACTCACTTTTTTGATGAATTTCCTTTCTCAACTTTGACGTAATAACTGAGCTTGCTTTGTAAATCTTCCAAGTCAGGTAGACTTAACCTAAAACAATAACAAATTCCAGTTAATGACAAACAGACTATCTTAAATATTAAACAACTAAATCCTTTCAAATTTTAACTTAGTTACTGAATAATTTAAAACATTTAAGAAGGCCCAAGGGTAACAATATTTTAACTTTTTTCATAAAAGAAAGTTTGTGTTTGTTATTACCTTAAATCTTTTTCACCATACAGGAATTCATCATCATCTTCTAAGTTGCTCCTTCGCCTTTGTTTTCGCAAGGCATCGCGTAACTTCTTCTCTTCTATTTCTTTCATCATTTTCTTCTTTTTACGTTCATCACGCTTCTTCTTCTTGCCTGAAATTAAGTATTTCAAGAGTTGTAAATTTAATGTGCCAAAGTGCTACTTACAACTAGCCTAATTCTAATAACAAGTGGGCTATTAGTATTGTTGATTTGGATAAGGGATACACTTATTTTCCAGAAGAGATTTTTTCTGATTATCATGATTACAAGACTGCACGACTATATTCAATCAAGTGATTCTGAAACTGATAACACATTTTCTGCTGCGTTGTAACAGCAGTAGTTTTGAAGAATTAGAGACCTAACACTATACGATGGTGAAGATCTTGCAAAACAAAATGTTTTAGTGGTAGTGAATTCTATATTGGTACTCCATCAGACTCGAATGAAGTTAATCAAAAATTTGAAAAGTGTTCATAACAACTGGGAAAAATAGTATGGATATATTATAATCATCAATTTTAGCATTGTATTCCTGGCTCAAGAGTGAATTCCTGTCCTAACCTTTTATTAAATGTAGACTACTTGTTTTATTTCCAAAACTTGTATTCTTTTTTGTTTGACTTAAAGAATGATCTTACTTGAACCATAAGATTGACATGACTAAATTACTCACTCTTGCTCCTTGCTTTTTTCTCTTTCTTGCGCTTCTTTTTAGCCTTTTCTTCTATGGCTTTGCGTTCCTTTTTCCTGAAAACAAACCACGGACCAAAGGTAAGATATTTTTATCTTTATGTGTACCATTGATTGTTTAGGCCTATTAAGGAAAAATAGATCAATAGTCAAGAGTAGGAACAGATATTACATTTTTCTACATTGTTTCAAATTTCTTATTTTCTAAGAACAGTTTCTACCATAGCAAAAAAAATCAAAATTTTTCAGCTGACATTATAGCAGCATATTTTAAAGGTTAAAGAATCATAAAGAAAGTCTTGGAGGTTTTTTAGGTCTTCAAATACAGGGTGACAAAAAAGTCTGGAAACGGCTTAATATCTTTTTAACTAAATCCGTTATAAAAATTCAAACCTTTCACATCAAATTTTATGTATGAAAACTACTTTATGTAAGCATTACCATTTTTTGACCTTCACCAGGGGACGACCCATGAGGAGTAGGTACATAATCTTTAATGTAAGCATAGGTTGATATGTACATCAATTTAAAAGGTTAGTCAAGTGGAGTTCATTCCTGGAAACCGCGTCTCAAAAGGTTCACCCGTTACAAAATGGCGGCTGTCCAAATTTCTTGTGGCATTTACCTGCACAGGCCTTAGTATTGGTAAATACTCATAGTCAACATTAGCTGGGAAATCTGAAACCAGGTTAAATTTGGTTTGAAAATAGAATAATATTAGTATATGAGCTAGTTGACTTTAAAATACTATTTTAGCTCTCAAGCTAATGTTGAATACAAGTATTTACCAATTCCAAGGCCTGTGCAGGTACATTCCACAAGAACTTTGGACATACATATAAGTTGTTGTGAAAGGTTTGAATTTTATAACGGATTTAGTTAAAAAGATATTAAGCCGTTTCCAGACTTATTTGTCACCCTGTATAAGCAAATCACTTATGAGCTTATATTTCAGCTAAAAAAAATTTTTATACTTCACTTCCTGTAAGAATGGTTGGTAATTGAGATTTCAGACCTACATTTAAATGCAAATTTCACTGTTTGATACAATCCTTAATGGTATTATCACTTTTTGTAGTCACACATGGTTAACCCCATATTATAAATTAAAACTTTGAATGAGAAAATTAAAATAGAGCCTAAATGGAAACCGACGGGAACTGTTAGCTGTTTTAATTTCATGAAATAGTTTATGTTTGAGTAGCGTATAAAAGAACGTTCTACATGTTACCAAAAATCCATTGTGATTTAATTAATTGCTTTGGTATTGAAACGAAAATACAGTAGAACCTCGCTAATCCGCCCTCGGATGGTCTGACTCCTCACTTGGTCCGACCGTGCCGCCGACATAATAGGCTTCCGCTAACATAACTTCATTGTCCAAGAAAAATACATAGTACATTTTTAAGGGGGTTTCTTTAGTCTAATGTGTTGAAATTAGTTGTACGGTATATTTAACTATTTCTGCTCACTATTTATATGCAGTAGGCTCCCACATTATTGTTTTTAAAAATCACAGTTCATTTGACAAAAATTTTGAGAAGCGCAAAAGTTTGAGAAAGAGGGTAGCGGATTTCTACCCCCGGATATTTACCCCCATGAAAAAACGATTACGTCATTTTGACGTCACGAGGGAGCCTATACACAGTCGAGAAACAGCCCCCGACTGGAAATCTACCCCCGGACATCTACCCCTCGTGACGTCAAAATGACATAGGCGTTTTTTCATGGGGGTAAATATCCGGGGGTAGAATTCCGGCGACCCTGAGAAAGCTGTGATTTTAAAAGTTACAGTTTTTATTACTGAACCAAGGTTAATGACTTAAACATAATTATCATGATTACGCAATAGCCTACTAATTGTTTTTTGATGATTTAAAATGCAAATTACATTAAAATCTATTTATACAGTATTTGGCGTTGTTTATGAGTTAGAAATGACTGTTTTATGTCATGTTGGATGGAACCGTGGTTTTCACTTATCCGTGGTCTGTTCAAAATACAGTTTTACTATGTTTTTATGTCAATAAACGTGTTCCACTGATGATACGACCATGGTCCCGTAGGTGACTGATTAGCGAGGTTCTACTGTAATACTACTTAGGCGTATCATGCTCCATCTAACAAAATGATTATACTTGATGGGTAGAAGAATTTTTGAACAAAGATGCACAACCCTCACAAGACCCACATTTTATAAGTAGCTCACCATTTTGCAGTTTCATCAAGGAACTTGCGTACTTTCTCCTCATAGTCAGAATCACCTTTTGTCTGTTCCAGGAATTTACAAACTCGTTGTTCATATTCCGACTCTTTGTCCGTCTTCCCAGAAGAGGCGTAAACCATAGCAGCAGCTGCTGGATCAGCTAATAAAAACAGTATTTCTTTTATTTTATTAATTCGTCCAACAAAATAGAAATACATAATTTAACACAAATTAATACTATAACAATCAATAGTAGATTATATAGCACTACAAGAATGAAAAAAGCTAATAAAGATGGCTATTTTATTTCCATAACGGAAACATCACCAATGTCTTCCGTGGTCGTGACAAAATCTCAGCGGTAACGGAAACATTATAATCGTCTCCCGTGATCACAGAAAAGTTATCATCTCCCTCGTTCGTAGCTTAATTATAATTATTTCCTGCGGTCATTGTTTCCCGTTGTCACGTAAACCTCATCATCGTCTCCCGCGGTCACAGATACGCCATCGTTGACATGCGCGATCGCGGCAAACCACTAAAAATTTGGCCATTTGGAGTATGGACATCATCATCATCGTCTCCCGCTATCACAGAAACGTCATCGTAATCTCCCGCGGTCACGGAATTGTCAGCGTCGTCTCCCGCTGTCTCGGAAACGCCATTGTCGTCATGCGCGATCGCGGAAAAATCTCAAAAAATCAAGCAGTCATTTTCACATCATTATCGTCTCCCGCGGTCAAGAAACGTCATCTTCATGCATGATCACAGAAAATTGAAAATTCCCAATAAAATACAAAATTCACGCATAATTCCTGTTGGTGGACACCCTGGATAAAGAGCAACTAAGTTAATGAAGATATTTTTAATACTGGCAGGATTATTTCTCTGGGCTGTGGGTTTAAAAGGTAAATTTGTGCAGTGATTACACAGATTAATTAATTTTAATATATGCCTATGTCTCAAGGGATAACACCAGTACAGATTGTTGACCGCAAATGCAAAAAAAATAGCGGAAAGACAATTATTCAACTCACCTGAGAAAGAATATGGCAAGGCAGGAGGGTTGTAATGAGATCCTCTTTGTCCTGAAAATACAAAGTGGATTAAATAAACAACTTTAAGTGATTAAGATTTAATGCCAGATTTTTAACGTACCACCAAACAATAATAAGTGAAATCCACATAAGGTGCAGGTATTGATTCTTGAAACAGCCAAACGCATTTTTAGCCATAGCAAAGCTTTTTTAGCCATCACTCAGTATTTCGGTATTTTGTCCACCCAAAACTGTCAAAGTAACAAACATGCTGCATGTAAAGTGTTTACTCGATCTTAGTACATTTAAAAAATTACTCTCAATATTTGAAATAAAAGTAGAAAATAATCTCACCGTCAGTTTCGGATGTAGCAGAAGAGTCCATAATTGCCATCCTTTTGCTTAGTGGTGACAGTGATTTCTCCTTTGGCTCACTCTTCCTGCTGTAATCATAAATACATTTGCTAAATTTTTACTCAAGCTTTTAAAATTTTGCTCATGATGAGCAATATAAAATTATCAACTACAAAAATTTCATAGGTCAGAAAAAGCAAACAACACAATATATTTAATTACGTATAAGTTTGGTAAAAACTATAGCAGCTATTGTACTTCCTGTTTAATCTATACAAATATGACAACACATGGTTCTCATCGTACCATTTTTTGCAGTCAATGGTTTTTTTGTTTTTAAGGTCAAGTACGTTTGAAACAATAAAATGCGATTTTTTAAACTTTAAGAAATAAATGTACTTAAAATGGTTTACGATACCTGCATATAGCAATCCATTGTTGCTGTTTTGGCAACTAGTTTGGGTTCTTCTGGACCATCATCAGGCCTCAAGGTGTCAGGTGATCCACAAAAATGTTATATTTATTGAACTCTGTTAACAACCTTCAAATGAAGTGATTACTTGACACATTGAGGCCTGATGATGGTTCAGAAGAACCGAAACTAGTTGCCAAAACAGCAACAAAGGATTACTGTATGCAGGTATGGTAAACCATTTTAAGAATAATACAGAAATCCAGAGGCTAAACAACTCTTTGAAACTGGATAAAAAGGAGTCTGAAAATATGTAAGGAAAAACTCTATAGAATTAGTACACCCATTAAAACATAAATAAGATACAACTTTAATCAATAAGTATGTTGTTGACTACCTCTTATGCTTTTTCTTGCCGTGGAAATCATTAGAAGATGCAGAACTGGTATCAGAGGAGGATGATGATGAAGAAGAGGAACTTGAGCTTCCAGAAGACGAACTGCTACTGGATGATGAGTGGCGTTTGTGTTTTTTTGATCTAAAAATAAATATTAACGTTTGCAAACGTGTAGATAGATGATTCATACACCTTAGAACTTCAGTTGTTGGATGCTTTCAAAATATTCAGGGCTGTGCGAATAGTTCGAAAAACGAATTGAATCCGAATCTTTTTAGAGATTCGATTCGGATTCGGAATCGATATTCGAATTTACTGGTAAGAGATCCGGGTTCGGATTCGATATTCGAATTTCTTGGAAATAGATCCGAGTTGGGATTTGATATTCAAATTTACTAGATTCTGATTGAATATAATTTTCAATATAATTTTTTAGACACTAAAAAACTACTTGTGCACTCCGATTTGCTGTTGACTGATTCATGTTAGGAACCTGACCAACTTGGTGTTAGGTTTTAGGCACATTAGTGTAGGTCGCATTTGAAAGTAAACTTAACCTCACAGTGTTAGTTGTTACTTGTAATAGTAATGCAGACATAGGCTTGTGTGGAGGATTAACACCGAGGTGTATAATAGGCTGGGCCTACTACACAAATTGGTAGTCCATCACTTTTAGCGAGTAACTTAGGCCTAGGTGGTATGCCTAACTTATGCCCAATTTTTTAGTTTCAAAACTTCAAATAGGTAGGCCTAAATTTTATAACTTTTTTATTTGGCCCATTTCAAGAATTTTTTTAAGCAATTCCCTAAGTTATTTTAGCCCCAGAAAATGTGGTCTAAAAATGTGAAAATTGGTACTGCTGACTTTCCTCGGATTTGGATTCGACTCTGAACAGGTTTAAATATTCGGATTCGATAACAGCTTTAAATTTCAGATTCGGATTCCATCCAGGTTCGATAATGGCTGTAAATTTGAGATTCGGATTCGACCCAGATTCGACTCGGGATTAATTAAAATATTCGGATTCGATAAAATCTGTACAGCTATGATTCGGATTCGGATTCGAACCAAAATTTCTGGATTCGCACAGCCCTGAAAATATTAAAAAGTTAATGAATGGTTCTTTGAACATATTTGATTCAAAACTATAACAAATTATGAACTACCATGAAGGTTCAGAACAGTTATACTTGGTTTAAGTACCTTGACTCGAAATACTATTTAATATTCTCTAACCTTGCCGAAATAATCAACTTACCCTATTCACAAAAACAGTAGGAAAAAATATAAACACAAGAAACATAGAATTTGTATAGCTTTCAACTCCTTTTCAGTTATAGAGTTTTTGTTCTGGTTGTGGTTTAAACTATGTTACTTTTTATTTTACAACTAAATGGAATGTCTAGTTCCAATCCAAAAGGTAGTATTAAAAGCATAGGGAGAAAATATAATTTTTTCGGTAGCACACTCTGAGAGCCACATTCAACAGTGAGAATTTTTTTTGAACAATTGCCTTGCATGTACATTTGTTGGACTAACTTTAAAAAAAGTTTAGACCCATTTTCTAGTATAGGCTTTTCTATTGCTGATAATTTTAACATACTTTTTCTCCTTCTTCTTCTTCTTAGCAGAGCTAGTCCCTTCCTCCTTGGTGGCAGTCTCGTTGCCCAGCAGCTGTTTCAAGGTGTCCTTGACCCCCTGAGTCTTAGAGGTCAATGAAGGTACGAGTCCATCTGTCAGCGAGGTTGAACCGTTGGCCATCTTCACTCGGATGTACTCAATGGAGTTTTGTGCTTCCTCGTGGTAAGGCACAATCTCCAAACACCTCTCGTACAACTTCAGAGCTTCCTCTGTCTGACCTGAGTCTTCGTAACTGTGAAAAGACAGACAAAGAATTATTTACTTACTTATGGTTATTCATACCAGAGGTGTATTTGGCCTCAATCTTGCCTCCATGTCTTCACTAAGTCTCATATTGATCTTTTTTTTTTGGGAGAGGTCTTTTTACTTTCTCCCCCTATACCATAGTAGGATGGAGAAAGTATTGTTTTCGTCAAAATTTTCGAGTTTGAGTTTTGAGTGGATATATCCGTTTTGGGTCCCCCTGGACCCAAAAAAGTGGTTTTCAAAGTGATGTCTGTGTGTGTGTGTGTGTGTCTGGATGTGTACAGAGCTAGGGACTACACCTATGGTCCGATTTCGATGGAATTTGGTATGTAGGTTCTAATCCATGGTATCTCCAGGCGTTTTTTTCATTTTTTTGAAATTTTGATTTTTAATGGGAAAAACCCATAAAAAACCGGAAAAATAGGATTTTCTCAAAAATGGCCCGAACGATTTTGATAAAAATGTAGTATGTTGTGGCCCTTTAAATTCTGAATAAAATGGTACAAATCCCATATCTGTAAAAATTACGGTTCAAAAGTTATGGTAAATTATGTTATTTTCCCATAAAATAACGAAAAATTGGATTTTAGGAAAAAATCCGGTTTTATTTTAACATAGTATGTTATGGTCCTTAAAATTTTGATAGTTTTTCATTTTTAAAATTTCTTTATTTTTAATGGGAATTTTCCCATGAAACCCCATAAAATAACTGAAAAAAATGATTTTCCCAAAAACGGCCCGAACGATTTTGATAAAATTTTTGTATGTTATAGTCCTTTATATTCTGAACCAAATGGTACAAATCCAATTTTTGTAAAAATTATGGTTAAAAAGTTATTGTAAATTATGTTATTTTCCCATAAAACCCCATAAAATAACGGAAAAATCTGATTTTCACAAAAATGGCCCGAAAGATTTTGATAAAAATTTAGTATGTAGTCCTTTAAATTGTGAACAAAATTGTATAAATCCCATTTCCGTATATTTACTCTCACCGCTTACACATGATAAAGGTTGTTGACAAACTTATGGGAGAAAGTATGTGTCAGAATGCTGATACCGTTTATTTCTTCTGGCTTTCACTTGCTTTTCCCAAGCCCCAAAAGTTCTTCAGATTACATGTCCTAAATGTTCAGCTACAATGTCTAGAGCTTCATGCAGGTCTTATTTTCCCTGTTGTCTCTCCCATTGTCCATTTTCACTTGTTGGTCAAAAAGTTTTCCTTAAACATTTTTTCCCAAAGTGTCCCACTTGTTCTCTTAAGTTGTCAAAGAACTATCTTCATGCACAAGTATTGAGGTATTATAGTTAAGATTTGGCAAATTATTTAAAACTTTCTGTTAATGGAAAATCTATTTTATGTGAAAAGTTAAATTGGAGCAAACATTATTCTATAGACTGATATTATTCTGCCCCTTATTTAACAATTTTTACTATTCAGGATGTCCAGCGTCCCATCAAAATAAAATTCATGGACAATTCCAGTTTTTCCAGGTTAAAAGTTCAAAATTTCCAGGAAAAAACTTGCCCATAGTGTTTAGCATTCCATCTAAATTTGAATCAAGGACAATTCCATTGACTATTTTTTGCGATCCCAGCCACATCTGGGATTATCTTTCAATTGCGGGAGAATCAGTGATGATTTCCTGGGATCGCAGAAATGGCCATGATCATTTCTTGTGATTGCGGTAACGTCTGATATTCGTGTTAGTTTCCTCATGATGGCGATTTTAAACTACGTGGAACGAAAAAAATCGGCTATTATTTAAATTTCTTAATTTAAATTTTAACACATTTAAATTTCTTGGTTCTTTGTAAAATTCATGTACAATGCAAAGATTTTTTTCCCAGTCATCAATATTTACATAGGCTCTACAATTCCCGGTTGGATGGACACCCTGCTATTGTTTCGTCAGATTGATGTAACAAGATGTCGAATGGTTCGTTTTCAAAATTAAGTCTCTAGTAAGGCCAGGGTAACGTCAAAAAATCTAAAATATAAATGAAAAGTTAGTTTAAAACATAGGCCATAAAATCCTATGTTACGAGTATTTAAAAAATTATTTCCAAATAAATGCTGCTAAAATCAAAGATGCAATTATTGCAGAATTTGTTTAGTTATCACAGTGTAACAAAAAAAAATTTTTAGAAACATACATGTGAAATATTTTATTTTAATGATTATTTTAGTGATGGTCGAATCCAGGAATTTCAAATTTCGAATATCAAATCCGAATCCTAAAAAAAAATCAAATCTCGAATCTCGAGTCCCAAAAATAATTACAAATGGGCTTATGGTGATTAAAAAAGCAAGAATGGAATAGGAACCATTTAACACTTATAACCACCATGACGACAATAACCTCTATGGTTAGGCAATGTCACAGTACATGCTACTTATAATTCTATTAAAAAAATATATTCTCGAATCTCGTTAATCGTGTCTTGAATCCGAATCTTTTCTTAGGATTCGGTGGATTCGAGATTCGGATTCGAAACATCCCTAGATTATTTATGTAGGCCTACTTACTTCCTTCCATAAGCCACTAGTGTCTCTCCCATGTATTTCCTTGCGTTCACGTGAGTAGGGTTCAATTTCAAGGCAATCTCAAAATCGTCGATTGCTTTCTTAAAACTTCCACCATTGGCATATCTGAAAAAATAATTTGTATACAATACCATGTTGGAGGAATGTATTCACAAAGAATATTAATGCAAAGCTGCATTTTCTGGCTTGTTAAACATCTGAAAGGACAACTTACTGCAAACTGCAGCATATTTCATGTCTCATCAAAGTACAATAATGACCTCCTCTTAACCGACATCACATTAACCGAATTGGATTATCCGCCCTTGCTCGTATCAATGACACTATTGTATTTTTTTTTTTTAGAAATCTCTATAAAGAAATTGAGTGATAAAAATATTACAGTTTTTTTTTAACCGACCTAGTTTTGAGAGTTTTTTGTCTTGGCATTCCCGCTCCCTTGCTTGGCGATGGGAACAATACTCTAAACTCTACAGGATGTTACAGGCTATTAATAAACATCCTGTCTCGGTTTTTTGAATCTCTTAGTTCGACAGTAGGTTCTGTACTGTATTACGATGGATTTGGAAAGCCTTCTAAAGGTGGCATTAAAATCATAATTTTTACTGACTCTTGCCTATGACTATTTAATTTATTTCACTGAAAATTGAGCTTTAATGTGCTTTGGGTTTATTTCTGACTATTGAATTGACAATACTTAAGAAAGAATAGTGTATAGATAATTCCAAATGAATAGCACTTATTTTTTTAGTTTTTAGGGATTGCCCCTTTAAACCGACCTTTTGAGTTATCCAACCTAGATCGGGTCCTGTTAGGGACGGTTAAGAGGGGATCTACTGTACATTCAAACCCCTTTAAACCGCTCGCTGTCACCCCAAAATTATAATGAAATTCAAAACAGTTGGAAAATCAGCTAAGAAATTTGAATTGTCTGCCATGGTGCTACCCGCACCATTACTAACAACTGTTTGTTCCATTTTTCCAACAGAATGTAATTGAGCAGACAATGATATAGATATAAAAAAAAAAAAAAATAAAAAAAAATTTTCATTTTGTTTACTGTTGTAGATTTTAAGATGACAGTAATGAAAAAAACGTAAAAAATAAACTTTGTGAATCTTGCTAAACTAGCCTTTGCATTCCAACCACTGATTTACCAACTGAAATGACCTCCCAACTTTATTTAGGTTGATTGGGGTTTTACTGTAACAAAAACTAAAGCCTGTGTCACACTTGGCTACTTACTAGCAGCTACGTAGTAGCAGCTTACTGAAATAGCAGCTACTTTTCCTGTCACACTTATTTTGGTAGCGTCTATTCACTAGCTGCTACTACTAGTTTAGCTCAAGAGAGGTTATGTCCCAAAGACACGGATATTTCCTTTACAGGTTCAAAAATTAATCACATCTCCCCCACCCCACTTCGGATAACTCATGATTACTTCAGAAATTATTCAAAACGAGAATAAACAAATCAGGCAGACAGCATGTGGTGCATGTAGCCGCTAGTCTGCTATTGAAGCTGTCACACTGGGCGACAGTTGCTACTTGATAGCCGTGACTCACTAGCGCAGTTTTGTAGCACGGAAAGTTGGACATGTTCAACTCTTTCCATGCTAGTAAAATTTCACTAGCGCGCTACTCTTAGTAGCTGCTACTGCCTATGTCACATTGGCTACTTAGTAGCTGCTATTTCGCTAGCTGCTAGTAAAGTAGCGTGTGACATTAGCCTAAAAGAAAAAACACAATAGCATACTTTGATAAACTTTTCTGCATCTGCTCCATATAGATGGGATGTCTAACTTAAGGATAACACTATTCACTTACAAAGCTCCACGTGCGACCAAGCCTTCTATGTTGTTGGCGTCAATGCTCAAAGCCTTGTTAAGACACTGGAACGCCTCGGTCATGCGACCAGACTTGAAGTGTTCTATACCGTCAGCGACACTACGGAACGCCCACTTGGCTGCCTGTACGTTACGCAGCTCTGTCGCATACTCCGTCTCGGGAAAACGTCCTCTGTGAAGACAAATATAGTAAGGCTGATATATTAAAAAATTACACTTTACTATATAACAAAAAGGGAAGTACACTTCTTACTAGAACACTTTGAGAACATGCTTTTGTTAAAACTAAAAATGTATAAATCCTCGCTAGTGTAAAAATTGGAAGATTTTTTAAATCTAACGGGTTATTGAAGACATTTTCCGCCACCATTAGTAAAAACAAACAGTATCAGCAATCTAACACATACTTTCTCCCATTAGCTTGTCAAACTATGATATTTTATAAGAAAAATCACAAAGGTTGAAATTACTTTAGAACCGTAATTTTTACAGCAATGGGCAGTTGCACTATTTTGTTTAGAATAAGAACCATAAAAAATTTTAATCAAAATAGTTTTTTTTAATCCGATTTTCCGTTATTTTTTGGGTATTTATGGGGAAGGTTACAATAAATTTTAAACCCTATGGTAATTTGCTTGTACAGCAATGGGAGTTGGACCGTTTTTTCAGAATTTAAGGACAATATTTTTTTTCTTTCAGAGATTGTACAACCACAGATTAGTATTGTGGCTTAGAAACTAAACACACAACCAATACAAGCCTAGTCCCTTAATGACTTAGCTAACCTAACCTCGTGGTGAAGTAACGGAATAAAAAACATATTGTGTTAGTGCATTTAACGTAAAATGAGCAAAAACTTACTTGAGGGCTAGAATATTGGTGTGGTGAAGATTCCCCAATCCCATAACACTGGCCAGACAGCTGACATTGCTGGGGTTGTGAAACCCAACTGTCTTCTCTAACATCTCTTCAAACGGCTCACTCTTGCCTTCCTGAGGTAACCTGAACAGCGAACAGCCAAATCAATTAAGCACCTACTCAACAACAACACCACAAGTAAATTAATCATTTTTACATACTCGTCTATAAACTGCTTTCTCCTCTTTAGACAGACTATTTCCAAAATTAAACAATGACATTCAAAATCATTTTATCTGCTGTTCCTAAATTGACAACACAAATAAATGCTAAACAACAGTTCACCTAGGCATTATAAAGTTTCATTCACTAAACATTTTCTGGTTTGGATCAATTTAACCTCTTAAAATATTACAAGTTCAGAGGAAGCAGTTTAATCTATAGTTAAGAAACGTTTATTAGTTTTGAAAAAAAAACATACCTTTGGCGTACCTTAAATATTACTAGTCTAATCTGAATATAATTGGTTGGAATTCAGTATTATTTACCATGATATTCAAGATTCTCGCAATTTTTTTTAACATCCATCTCACAAATTAGGACATCTCCTGTTTTCTTTTAAACATTGTGAGGTAAATGATTTCATTACCATTCTTGAATTCTGCATTTAAAAGAAATACAAAATATGATGTTGTTAGCTTTATTTCTTCTCAAGTATCTTCCTTAAAGCCAAAATTGGGCTTTACTAGTCTCAAACTTGTTTTATAAGGTACAAATATCTTTTCTTTGATTTTTTTTTCAACTTCCGATAAAGTTTTTTAAAAACTTCTGCTTCATAGACACTTCAAGAATTATGTACTTAAGCCGACTTAAGACACAACTTTTATGAATCCTAAAAATCCTTGTGAGTATTATTTTTTTTTCTGTAGTGAAATAATATCATCTTCTTCCATGTTTCATTATCCAACAAATATCTCGTCTAGGCTTTGGAGTCCTAAAAATTATTTCCATCACAGTTTTTTCCAACCCACATTTTATTGCCTCATTATCAAAACCATCAATGTGTCAAGGGAATAATTAATTGTTGGAAACATGAAGTTTTAGCTAACTCCTGAAAGTACAATTAATTTAACAACCACAAACTTTAACCAAAAATCTTATCACCAAACCTGTAAGAAATGTTACACTTTGTGGTGTGACCAAATGAAACACACAATATAATAAAACAAAAGTACGTCCAGACAATGTACCTCTCCAGAATCAGTATGAGTTTAACTAATGACTGATACATTGCACTGATATTTCAACATGTTTAGTCCAAATAAAAGATACGGTGAGGTAGTTAGTACTACTGTAACATATGTTCAGATGTTTCAGTATGCACTATATTCCGTCTACAAAATTTAGGCGGTTTGAGGGAAAGCAATTCCATCAGGCCACCTCACCCTTTCAAAAAGTTAGGCAAAAGCTGATCAGCTGACATACATTAAGCTAAAAAAAGTAGTGGGGGAACCGAGGACACCTTCACCTTTAACCACCTTAATTTTGTCAACAGACTGTAATGCAGAAAATGAAAATGTCATGCCTAACTAAAATTAATGTTGATAAGATAGCTTATCTAAAACTTAAAAAGATAGGATCCATCCAGATATAGATTTAACTGTGAATTTCTTTAAGTTGTTTGTAGTCTAAACTTGTTGGTATAATGGTATTTTAACAGCTCGCACATGTCTCACCTTAAATCATACTTACTGACTGAGAAATATTTATCTTACGGGTATTAAAATACAAATTAATTGGCTTATTTATCCACAGAAAGAAAAGCTATTTTTCTTGACCTTGTGTTTTATTTGAACTAACACAAACAACATAACATTTTACTCCTACGGAATCTCATCATAATTTAGTAGTCAGGTCAAATAAAAAAGTTGCGGAGGTTATCTTAAAAAAATTGCTGCGATAAAAAAATGAAAATAGTAATAGAACTAAGTCAAAATTCGTAGCAGAACAAATATTGCATGCAATTGTCATTTTATTAAAATTTCTCTTAGAGCCTATAAATTATAATACTTGGTTTTAAAGTATGATAAGAATGTTTCTTGATCAACTGCACTATTTATAATTATTGAAAGATAAGCTGAACAGATACTAACCAAATCAATAAAACACATCTTTTTGATAAGACGTTTTTGAACCAGCCTGATGATTTGATGAAACATAATTTTGTACATAAATTGAATTTTTTTCTTTTTCTAACTTTTTTTTTAACTAAACTTGATTTGACGAGTAATTTGTTATACAAGCTATTCTCAGGTTTGTAATGTTATGTGACGAATAAAGTAATTGTCATTATAAAATATAGATACATTTATTTTTTTTAGGTTTTGATATCCTGTTATTTTAACAGTGAAATGAAGGCACATTCAAAGAAATTTGTAATAAGCAAATGAAGTTAGGCCTAGTTACTTAGTACCAAATGTCATGAATATTGAAATGGTTTGGTCTCTAGTTCTATGGAATTTACGTTCTATACACCCATACTAGGGTGTCCAACGTCCCACAAATATAAAACTCAAGGACCATTCCACGTCTCCCGATCGCAGCAAAATTCATGATAAAACATTTGATCAGCGGTCATGGCAAAATCCATGATTATCTCCAGTGACCATTCAAAATCCATGATGATTTCTCACAATTGCGGTAACATCCGTTATGATACAAACTGCGATTAAACAATTTCTGTGATAATTTCTGACAATCCCAGCGACTTCTGTGTGCCAGCCACAGTGATACAGTGATCACTATTTTCTTTCTTGACATTAGTGATATGTCAAACCCAAATCTCAAAACCACCAAAACTCTGAAAAAGTTCCAGTTTAAGGATTCGATCGGCAATGATCAATAAAATATTCAGGTTATGCCAGTAAATAATATGGTTTTTTAAATATTTAAGGTGTATTTTCCAAAGGTGTATTATTCATGTTACTAAATCAGAGTCAGAAGTGTAATTTATTTAAGTTTTGATTGCGTAACAAACATTGTTTCACTACCAGTATTTTTTGTAATCTTAATAATGCAAGTACACAAGTTTTGCGTTTCAATTTTGAGATTTGATATTTCTTGTTTTTACCTTTACTACTTGACAAAACAATGCAAAAGGAGGAAAAGAGGCAATTGTTGGCGTATCTTAATGGTGATTGAAACGATTGCTCAAAATCTAAAATTTCTTAGCCTCATGTACGAAATTTACAATCAATTCACAGACTTTTCTAGTCATAAAAAATCATGTAAGATTACCGGTTTCAAGGTCAGCTGGACACCCTGCATACTCTGACCTCTGTTATACTCTGACCTAGATATTATTCTCATAACACAAAATTTTAATTATTAAATTTAGCAATCAGCAAATTAAATATTTCTATCAAAACTGAAACTCAACAATTGGGAATATTGTTTAAAGATTCTTTTCATACCCATTAAAATTATGGGAAGAAACTATCGCGTGCGCACATAACTGTCACATGTCAAGTAGTTCTACCTTACTCATGTGTCATTTTTAAACAAAACACATGAAACCTTTGCAAAGGCCGCCAAACACTTCCGAACACATAGTTGACGTCAAACACTTTGGTTAAACACTGCATCTATGAGTTAATTTAAAGTTGACACTCAAGTAAGAGTAAAAATCTGTTGTTGTAAACTTAAAAGAGAATACCAAAATAATTCATTTGAACAGTAAACAACATTTTAAAATGGTATATAAAAATTAACTGTCTTCAAATGCTGAATGTTTTTGCTGGCTACATTTTTCTTACATTATTCATTTCAGTTTTGTCTATCAGCTGTAACATTGTTCATTTTCATCATTTCTCGTGTCAATCTATTTGCTTTCCAACACATCTGCAATTATAATAAACACTTGTGCCACAGTTTTCATTGCCATATTCTTCGACTTCAGTGAATCTCTCTCATAAATTCAACTTCAATTAGTTGCCAACTCGTTTATCACATCTTTTTCTTCCTTTGTATACAGTACATATCAGTACAGAGATTGTTTGTTGCGTTCAGCAAAAACATTCAGCATTTAAAAAATCCAAACAATCAATGACAAACTTGTTTAAACCAATGACAACTCATCAGACAGAAATAGAATCCACCACACCATAGTTTAGCTGAAAATGCAATTTAGTATAGTTAGCCTACTAACTACATTACCTTTCTTGATATCTCGGTTCCAGCTAACATGTGAAACAAAGTCGGCTCTTCTAAAAGGCATTACGTGTACGCCTTATTTTCAAACAATGCTTAGGTAGTACTCCAAATACATATCGTTTTCTTAATACCATACAATCATCTCGGCAACATTATCGTGAACCATTCCGCATTAAAATTATCCACAGTAATCAATCTATGGTCTCCAGTAATACATTTTAACTTGGTGAATTGGCTAAACAAGAAAGTACAAATAAAATTGTTTGCTTCACACAACAACCTAAAAAACACAATCTTACCTGTCGACAACAAAGTGTGCTTACGTAACAGTAAAATGTGCTTACAAAGTGAGTGAGACATCACATAGAAAAAACACACAGGGTACTAGATTGCCTTTTAAGGTTGATCTTTTGAATCACATTATTTTATTTTCATTTTAAAATGCAATAAATGTTAAGGTGTATGCCTAATGGATTGTTGAAATGTAAACATAAACGTTATTAGGCTAGTAATGTTTAATTGACACTAGTCAAATAAAACCCTCTATGACCTATCAAACCTCAGATTTTATTATATTTTTTATTTCTCAAACAAGTAACAATTTAAAAGAATGATTAGCAGTAGATATTGTTGAGAAATTGCAATAGTGAAGCTCTTTAATGTGATACCCATAATTTACACTAATGAAGTTAATTGATGCAATGGAACCACTATTTATCTGATAAAAATAGTTATCAAACCAATCAAATAGTTAGGCCTTCATTGATCATATAAACACGAGTCATTTCTGTGGAAATTTAGCTTGGTATAGCACACACGAGCTGTACTAAAAACTCAGCAATCTGTATTTATTTCCTCAGCATGCTTCATATAAAATGTACAACATGAATTTCAGATGTTTGTGAGATGTAGGCCTATGAGTTTTTGCATTTGTTTGAATTCGGTTTTCGCCTACAACACTTTTAATTTGGCTAAAGAATTGTTCTAAAACCCCAAAAGGTTAAAGCCAATTTTTATAGCTAAAAAATGCATTGTTCCAACTTTTCATACAGATTAGTATGATTTAAAGAATATTCTGAAATGAAATATGACCCAAAGTTTAAGTGTTAGTCAAGTAAAAGAGTGCTTGCTGGTAGCACATAACATACCGTATACTTAGAAGATATAAAATTTAAATAAACAAAAATTCACTAAGGTATGATATTTAAGTGTGAAAATAAACACTAAGGTTGCTTTCCACTTGGTATTTCCACAAAGAACAATAAAAGTGATTTTATCAAACAACAGGTTAAAGTTGTTCTGTAAAACGTGTTGCCGAGCATGCAAAGCGCCCTAAGACGAGTCAAGGTTACTCATATGAGCTTACTTGTAAGCCTCGGGAAAATCGTCAGAATGGAAAAGACCGAGACGAGCCTTTTGCTCTTCTGTAACTTGAACTCCCTTCATGCCACACACAATCTTCTCCATATCTGGAATCACTTCCAAAACCTCGCAAGCAACAAGGTCATTCATCAAGAAGCTGCGAGGCACACCTTTCTTGTCCACGGCCGAAATCAAATTGGATGTTGGACAAAACCCCTGTAAAACATTAAAATTGTATAAATTCTTGTGAATGAAGAATCAATTTTTAGTCAAGATAATACAGGGACGTGAATTTAGTTTAAGGACAAACTAGAAAACTGAGGATACAATCATGCTGGACTTCCAATCAATGTCATACATTAAAGTCCTTGTTTTCAATGAACCAATTTTTCTATTGAATAGTTCTAAGAAATGAGAGAAGTTTAAAGCTTAAGTGTTTAAATAAACAATACTCAAGTTCAGAACGTTCTTTGGTCTTTCCCAAATTTGATTAAAACATGTTCATAAACAAGCAAACTACAACAGTTTACTTATCTATACAGGGTGTTTGGTTTTAAGAATTATTGTGCACACAAATTGCAATAAAAATACACAATTTAGATAGTTATATCCCACTTCTACTTCCAGCAACAGCCGTTTTTAGATTTCCCAGATTTCTTGATATTGCTTAATAAAATCTCATTTTTTCTCAACACGTAGGCTTTTTTAGAATCTGCATTAAATATTCTCTCAGAAAACGTATAGTTTGTTACAGCCTAATTGGAGCATAAAATTAATCAAACTTTATTTGAATTGGCAAGCTGGTTTGAAGTTAATGGACTAAAACTTAATCAAGATAAAACTCAACTATTAAATTTTCATACTGCACAGTCAAAAGAGGGTTAAGGTTTAATATAACTGTTGAAATTACCTCACTCCATATTGTTTCAGTACAATATAATTTGGTTTAACTAATAGCTGGTTTCAAACTTTCAATGAAATGTTAACATTAAAAATTAGTTTTTCATATTAAAAATGCCAAGAATGTTCCCTTATGCATAGGCTGTAAAACCAGCTGGTCTGAATTATATAGAACTGACTACTTCATTACCTTGTGTCAACAAAAGTGTTTATCACCTGCAAATATCCACCATTACATAATTTACTACGCAAAAAGATTGTTTACTATGCAAAGTAAAAACTAAATCATAGAGTTGCTGTATTTTTAAACGCACATCAGCACCACTTTAGTAGGTCTCTATGTCACATTTTCTTCCCGTTGCAAAGCACGGGTATAACAGCTTGTTATTTTATATTTTAGGTTAGTTTTTAATTTTGACAATGTCATCTGTTTTTTAGCTATGTTATGATTCAAAACGTTATGTGACAGTAAAGAATTATTTATTTATGTTTTTTTATTCTTATCCTTGGGAAATTTTAGAAATGAGTTAAAGGAATAATCCCTCGTTTTCTGGTCTATCCGTGTTTCAATCAAAATGAATATGCGCTCCATGTTAAAGCAGCCGAGAATCTCTGTCCGACCGCCTCTTAAATACCAGGTAAAAGTATTATAAAATACACAAGTGAGCTGTAGTTAAATAGAAAAAAATACTGAAAGCACAGGTACAGCTGCTAGTTTTCATAAAAATAACATGGGTATTTTTGAATATTCTCCTTAACCAATGAGCGCATAACAACGCTTCAATATACTAAATTATTTGTTTGTTTAAGCTCTACAAAAATGGTCAAAAAGAAATTGCAAAATTTTATGTTTCGGGGGTTAAAAATGGGAAAACAAAATTTTTACCCCATAAAACCCTGTGATGCCAGGTCAGGCCTGTCTATATTTAGTTGTGATAAAGATTTCCAACTCATCCAGAGCTATTCTACTGAAAACCATGACTAAAATAAATAAAATAATATTACATTTAATATAAATTCTGTTGTAAATTCTCACCTTAATGCCAAGCTCAGTGATGTTTCGTGCATTGTCACCATCAAGACACAGGATCTTAAGGAACAGCCCGGCATTGGTTTTGCTTGTTATTTGACCAATAACTACTTCTCCTACACCTAGACACTGCAAAAACACAACTTAGTAAGCTATAAGTCCTAAAATTTACATTGACCCTTTAAAGTCTAAAGATGACATATAATCCAAGAAACTACTTCCACTAACAACTATCTAAGTTAACTATTACCAAACAAATACCCCTGCCATAGCAAACCTGCAGACTAAGCGATTTTCCATTTACCAGTTTTGGATTTTAAATTAAATCTATTTAAAAAACATTAGGTTTAACTACTACCTAGGTTTGCTGCTACAGGGAGGGTAATAAATTGTATTTAGTGAAATAATTAGTTTAGTATGAAATAATTAAATTTGCCAAGTTTAATCAAAATATATCCATAAACAAGCAAACTACAACAGTTTAATAAATTCTCCATAAGAATAACATGGGAATTTTAATTTATTTGATTTTCTCCATAACCAATAACTGCACAAAAGCACTCCATAGGCTATACTAAATCATTTGTCCTTTTAGCTCTTTGAAATGAAAAAACATTATAGAACAAAAAAAAATTCATGTGTTATTTTATGGGTTTTTATGGAAAAATCACAATTGAAATCTAAATTTTAAAAAAATGAAAAAACACCTGGAGATAAAAACACCTGGAGATAAGTTACTATGGATTAGTACTCTCGTACCAAATTTCATAAAAATCTGTTTCATCTAACAGGTGTGGTCTGTAGCTTTGTAGGTACATATCCACACATACAGACAGACAAACAGATAGAAACACACGTACATATAAATCACTGAAGCGTATACTATTATTAATAGTAACGGTACTGGGCTCATAAGGATCGTTGAGGCTCAATGTAATCATTTTAATGGTCCGAAAACTACTTTTTTGAGTCCAGCCTGTTATTCCACCCAAAACTCAAATTAGAAAATTTTGACAAAACAATACTTTCTCCGTTAGTTTAGCCTGGGGAGAGAGTAAAAAACCAACCCTTGATTGATTTTGCTTTTCTTTAAATATAAAAATAAAATTTTTAAATGACACAATAACTCTCATAAAACTAAGTTACATTGATCATCCTAATTAATACCACTGCTATAAACTGATGCCGTGGTTAAATTATGTGATCCACTACTAAAAAATGTATTTAAAATCCACACAAACTCCTTATGACCTACTTGTAAGAAGTGCTGGGCTCTGCTCGTTTTATCCAAGTTGAGAAAGTTTTCAAACGGTGGCAATACAGCGTAAAGACCAGGTTCCACAGTTTTGGATTTTGGCTCCTCCTTCTCCACAAGCGAAGAGTCAAACAAAACATTCGCTTGCTTTGAAATAAACTGATGAAGCTTTAAACGCTTGCCGCGATCTTGAAAACTGTGGAAAGTTATAAGATAAATATTAATTCACTATACATTTATCATGGTTAGTCCCTGTCATACATGAGCTTAAGCTTAGTGCTAAGTCATTTTATACAAATGTTTTTAACAAGAATTAAAACAAATTGAAATATAATCTCTTGGTGTTTCAACAAAGAACTTTTATAAAAATAACATCTGGGCGATTAAGGAAAGTAGAAGGCTGCGATGAACTTAGATCAATTAAAAGTCTAAATTAAGTAGGTACAGTATCAGGTTTGCGCAAGATTTACTAAGTAATAAAAAAATTGAATAGACGAAATCAAACTAGCTAGCTAAACAAAACACAGACTAAACTTATACCAACCTAAGATGTTTTTGACGTTGAGAGTAAATGGCAAAATCGAGATTGGTGATGCCAAGCTTTTGTAGATTACCCTCGCCATGTTCTGCTTCCCACGTTTTCTGCAGTAACTGGCCATGAAAATTGATAGTTTTGGACACTAAGTCTGCGTTCAGATTGGATCCTGGGTCCATCTCATTCATGATTGTTATGATGTAGCTAAGGAAAACAAGTTGGTTAGGCCTATAAAATAAAAGTAAATACAAGCCTAAGTAGGCCTAGTTTAGCTAAGTTATTATAGATTGAAGTTTTTTTGTCTTAAAGCAAACTTAAAAAATATGTGAACTTGACCTGGTACCTTCCACATATGTCTAAGTTATTGCTTTGTTATCTTCTTATACAGGGTTAAAAAGTCTGGTGATTCCCCTATCAACTTTATAATGGGTTACACCAGGAAAACCAAACTCTGCACACCTCTATATCTAGCATAAAAGCACAATTTTTTGTTGGTATCTTAACCCCAAAATGGGTTGGGCCTATTTTGGAGGCAGCTCAAAAATGTTAAATGTGAAGCCCGATCAAGTGAAGGTCATTAGTTTAAAAGAATATCGGTGAAAACTAGAGGTCTCTATCTCAACCCATTACAGAATGGCAGCCATTTTAATGATCATCACCCTGAGAGACCCCATGTAATAATATACATCGACATCTCATATTAATGTTTTTATGGGTTCTACCACAGAAAACATACTACTATAACCCAGAATGCCAACCGCATGGTAAAAAGCATTAAGTATTTTGAGAGAGCTTTGCCTGTCAATCGTAGGCAGCGCCACCAGCGTTGCTATGCTGAGTGCGTGGCAACGCTGGTGGCGCTGCCTACGATTGACAGGCAAAGCTCTCTCAAAACACTTAATGCTTTTTACCATGCGGTTGGCATTCTGGGTTATAGTAGGTAGTAGGCCTATGTTTTCTGTGGTTCTACCAGGAAAACTAAACTCAGTATTACCGTAAAAGAAACTAAAAAATACTTTTTGGTTAGTATGACAATTTCTCCTGGGCTCCCAAAATGGGTTATTTGAGGGCAGGTCAAAAGTTTTAACATAAAGCCCCATCAAGTGACACCTCATTAAGAAGGCCATTAGTTAAAAAAAATATTGGCGAAGACCAGAAGTCCCTAATCTCAACCCAGTACAAAATGGAAGCAGTTTTTAGTTTTCCATCAAGAATTTTGAATTAGTATATAGCCTAACTTAAGCCGGGTTTACAAAAAATTATACATAGCAGATTTGTGCAACATCTAACAATGTTATATAACACTTGCTAGAAGTGGAAAAAATAACTTTTCACAAGTGCTATATAACACTGCTATATACAGGGTGAGTTTTAAATAAGTTCCCCCCCCCCCTACTTTTTTCTACATTTCTTAAGATATCAACTCCGGACCACTTCAGATCATTGTAGAGTAGTAAGTACTTCATTTTGACTGGGTTTAAATTTGTGGCCGCCATCTTGGATACAAAGTTATTTTTTCAAATGTAAAGGTAGGGTTGTGAGTGACCAACCTTTTCAAACTAGATTTTTATGCTGAATACGATGCTGCAATTCGTTTTAAAAAATTATGATCCATTCTTAAGTTATGAGAACTTTTTATAACTTTATTTTTAGCTCATTATAACGTTGTGCATTTACAAACTAAGGCCATAATCTCAAAATAGTGCTAGATAAAGATAAGTGCACACCACCATTCATTGTTGACCTATTTTCACTTGGTTATGAAGGATGTATTTTTTTCAGCCGCCATCTTGGATCTGCCATTTTGAAATGTGATAAATTATTTTAAATATGAAGGTGGTGTTGTGACCCATCATTTGAACTACTTTTTTATGCTGAACTTAATGCCCCAATCAGTTTTTTGTTATCAAGCTTTCTTGATAAAATATTACAATTATTTTTATTTAAAATGTCAATATTTCAAAAACCAAATATGAAAATGAAGAACGGATTGCGGCATTGAATTCAGCATACAAAATTAGTTCACAATGATGGGTCACAACACCACCTTCATATTTTCCACCTTCAATTTTACGGGTATGTTTAGTACCAACCTACACTAAAATAAAGCTCATATTCTAAGCTACAGCCTGGCAACAATCCCATAGTCGCCGGCAGAGTGCTGGGTTTAGACAGACACAATATTTGGCGGGCAAGCTCACTACTTACTGATATGCCGCAGTGCCAGTGCCGCGCTACTGCTATAGCAGTAGGCCGCAGTCAACATGTTAAAGTGTTTATTAGGATAGTAGGAATGGTTTATTAAAGCTCAAAAGACAAGTCCAGAAAGTTCAGAGGGCAGGGCTGGTTCTAGGAATTTTTCAGAGTTAAGCGAACACCCGAATCAGCGCCACCTAGAATTCCCCCCCCCCCACCCCACCCAATAGGAACATAACTTACCTAACCCTATTTGTGAAATTTTTGGGAAGAACTTTTTTATAAGTTTAGGTGAGAAGAATACTTGCAATAAAATACTTTTTCAACACACTATGATGTTTTTGGCTGTTTTTAAACATACGTTAATTGATGGCTGAAATTTACGTTTTGCTGGCCATGCCAGCGACAGCTGTCATTGTCATATTTGGGGACCGAGCAGGTTTTTACATCACTAGGCCCGCAAAATCAGCTGCCCGCTTACTTTCTTAAAACACGAATGCATATTAAATACTCAATCTGTATCCATAGCATTGCAATAGAATTGTTTTATTGTCACCACTGCCTCAACTATTTATTATTATTTTTGCCGATTCCTCAGATTATTTCTTCACATAACCTTAAAGTTGTAGTTGAGTTGACTATCAGTGTGCATTATTATTGCAGTGAGTAGTGGTAATAGGGTATAGGCACAGAAAACATACAGTAGCCTAGTATGTTTTCTGTGGTATAGGTGGGGTAAAGTGTGGTGAAAAATGTCAACTACTACTTTTCACAGAAATTTAACATTTTTACACTTTTACTCATCACACTTTAGCAAAACCCTAAGATAATAATTTATTTATAAATGCAAAATCAATTTTTACAGGATAACTTGGATACGATATAAGTTTTTAAAAAGCCAATTACAATTAAAAACAGTAACGGTATACAACTAAGAGAGCAATACAACGTACTGCTGTGCTCTAGGAGGGTTGAGTGATCAGGGGAAGAAGGGAGGGGGAAGTTTCTTATTGTGACAAGTGGCGCTGAGCACTTATCTCGAGCATGAGTCATGAAATGAAACCATAGAACTATAAACTCAGGCGCTGCGCTGTACGCTACTGAGCGTCAGCTCACTACAAATCGAAACTGCAAATAAATGCCTTGAGTCCTTGAGTTGAAGTGCTGTACAAGTATAGGCTACGCATTTTGCAAGTGCTGTTGGTACAAACAGAATAAATGCCTTTGGTATGGTGCTTTGGATACCTACTTGAACTCTGATCGAAAAAAAAAAACTAAATTAAGTTGTTAACTTGTCAGTAAAGTTGTTTCCAATTTTGTTTCTGAAAAAAAATTTCACTTTCTCGTGGCGCCATATGCGACCGCGTACCTAGTTGGCGTATGGGTTAAACCGGCCCTGTCAGACGGTGCCTAGACAAATTAGGCCTAAGGGTTTTCCATAAGTTAAGTTTATCTGTTGTCAAAACAATCAAATGTAAATAAGTTATCGATTGATATATTGATTAAACGGTATTTCATTTGATTAGTTAGGTTAGGTTAACCCTGCACTACTCGTGCCATATCTCATAACATGGGATACTCGCGCGGGTGACAGTTGCCCCCATATCATTTTTGTATATAGGTTATAAAGGATGTAAGTTAGGCTAAAAATATTTGTTTTATAGTAATGTCTCAAAACCTATTAAGTGACTAGGCTATTTAAGATTATTTATAAATAGTATTCATATTTTTTTTTGGTCCAGTATAACTTAAAAGTGTTAGCAAAATAAAAAAAATAGGAAAAAACTTACGATAAACTAGGCCTATATACATGACAGGAGGTATTGTCCACTCCACAATGTCCGACAATGTCTGTCCACAATGTTCTTCAATGTCCGACACATCATTTTTTACATCTATCTGGTCCTCTACATTGTCATTTTCAATTATATCTTCATCAGAACTATCTTCCATCAACATGTCCAAAATAAATGAGTAATCGCACAATCGCGGGCGCTTCGGTACACTCATGACGGTTGCACTTGCGCGGGGGACACTTGTTACCTAGTTGACTATTGAGCGATATAACACGGGCCACCAACCGGTTCGACGCGCAAACGCACACATAACTTAGGAGGATCTATTGTTTGTAACGGAAAGCTACTGAAGGTCACGCCTCTCCCCCCCACCCGGCGGCCGAGCTGTGCCCTAAACAAAAGCCCTAAACCTAACCAAACGATATATCGAATGGAACAATCGAACAAAAAATCTTTAATAACTTAGGCCTAGCCTATTTTCATTCGGTTGTTTTTTGACAACAGATAAGATACGGAAGGAAGTCTACCCAGTTCAGAAATACTAAATCAAAAGTCAATACAAATATTTATGCCCCTAGACGATTTGCCCAATGAACTGAAACCAAGGCCTTTTCCAATTCTGGCCAACTCCCAAGGTCTGGAAAATGTTGTAGGCCTAGGATAGAAAATGTATGTAACTTAGGCCTTGTTTCTATTTACCACATCATGCTACAAACCTACATAGAATAACTTATTAAATATGCAAGCATCATCATAAGTTTGTCTTGTGTAAACAGAAATAATACCAGTTAAATAATCAGACGCCGCAAGTCACCACCCCGGATGTTCTCTTCAAGGACCAAACAAAACTACAAAATTGGATAAACACCTCTTAAATCTTACTTGAACCTCTGTATTTATAAAAAAGCGATGATCATACCTCAATTAATTGGCTAACAGATGAATTAAAGAGTCAACATAATATTTGTTAAAGCTATTTTCAATGATCAACACGATGACGACAGTAGTTGGTTGAAAGAATCACCGGCCATCTTGTTCTTCTCTTCCTTCGCTTCAGTACTTCAGGTTCAGTTCAGTTAGTAGTCTTCTCTTCTCTCTCTTCACCTTCTATCGTTTCTCGTCTCGTCTCGGACACCGGGACACCGCACAAGTACGAGAGAAAACGAGAAAGACGGACGCGAACGGGGTCGAGTTCAGGTCGAGTTCCCGCAAGGCTCAAAGGACGTTCCACGACGTAGGCTCGACGTCACGATTTCATGACGTCAACACTTTCAAGTTCCATTCCTTGTCCATTTTAGTGGTTCTGGTTAATAGCTTCAAAGCTTCAGCGGATCATGTAAAATTATTCAAAATCATTTATATGGACAACGTTATTAATCTATGTTACGTATTATTTATAGCATAAATTTAAATTTTTGTTGTTACTTTGTCTAATACTGTAGGCAAAGTTTATTATAATAAACTCAGTTTTCAAAATAAATGAAGATGTAAACGATGTTTTCGTCAAGGTGGTGGGGGCTCTTGAAGAGGGTCTGCAATGTGACGATCCTTGTAATCGGTGTTTTCACCGGACTTGTATGGGTGTACCTGAATCCGAATATATAAAGATGGCCGGAGATATTTCTCATAAGTGACATTGTACCAGGGCTGGTTGTCACCCCAAATCTGCTGTTTCTAGTGTTCCTGACATTTTGAGCACCTTGGTGACTAAGGTTGATGATCTGACTGGTATGGTTAATGCTCTTAAGGAGGTCCCTAAGGATACTAAGATTATTAAGACTGAAATCAGGACCATTGAGGAGAAGCTTTCGACGCTGGAGCCTAAACTAGAAGAACTCGATAACAGAGAGGCGATGAGAAGCCTCTAATGGCAAAGCTGATGTTAATGATCTTCGATGTCTGAAATCAACGATCGTAGCACAAGAAAAAAGAATATCATAGCGCCTTCCATGTCCCTGAGTCGCTGAGTAATCAGACGGATGATGTTAAAACCATATGCTGTTACAAAAATATTGGACGATTCAGCATCGCATTTGGATATAGCTGGAGTCAAGTTTTTTTTTTTCAGGCTGGGTACAAAGCAAGTGAATAAATCCAGACCTATCAAATTGATATTTCAATCTAAACATTATATGCTTCATATACTTAATAATTTCTCAGGTGATAGTCTACGCTCTATTGTCCCCAATCTCCTAGAAGTGAAGCTCTCTAAGGACCGTACTTTTAATGAGTTTGATTTCTAAAAACATCTTCGTGATGAACTTACTGCCATGCTGCAGGTGAAAAAACCTCACCATTAAATACAGGAATGGAATCCCAGTGAATGTTAAGTCTAAAGGATAAAAAAAACTAATTTACATCAACGGCAATGCTAAAACAAAAATGTGTTACAAGAATGTTAATGGTATTAGGTCTAAGATACATGAATTACTAAAAAATGCTCGACTATAAAATATAGACAGTATATAGTCTTCTCTGAAAATAAACCTTCCCCTGATATAAATGATGCAGAGTAAGGTCTTGATCAATTCAACATTTTTCGTTGTGACAGATCCCCTGAAACAAGCATAAAAAACAGTGGGGGTGGTGTCCTGATTGCCTCAAATAAATCTCTGAAGGCGTCTTCTGTTGATCTGTTGGGTGATGATGTTGAAGTCTTGGCTGTTACAATTAAACATGGCCATATTCAACTTGTTTTGTATGCAGTCTATATTCCTGCCAACCAGCCCTTCTCTAAATATCAATCACTTTGTGACTCCATTGAACACTTACAGTTAGATTGTGGTTTTGACTCAAACTTCCTCTTTGTCGTTGAATTTAACCTCGCTAGTACTGGAAGTCCTACTTCCTCATATGGACTACTATACAATTGACACTTTAGGAATACATCAGAGGAGCAATATATTTAACTTAATGGGCTATCAACTTGATCTTGTTTAAACACTGACTTGCCTTGCACTGTCTCCCACTCTTTAGGTATCACCCGGCCTTAGAAGAGGCTTTGGCCATCCCCTGTCCATGGCCCATCATCTACTGATCCTTCTAATCTCTATGAAGCAGATGGTGACCTGTTTGCTAGACATTTTTCTAGTGTATACTCAGTGCCACTGGTAGTTAGTTGAACCTGCTGTCCCTTTGAGGACCAACTACCCATACCAAATCTATTTCTTCAATACAGTGCACTCCCGAAGAGGTCAGAAAGAAGATTGAATTACTAGACATTTAAGGGCTGTGGCCCCGATGGCATTCCACCTTGTTAAGTAGGATAAGTTGCCAGTCTTTGTTATTTTTAATTAATTTGTTTATCTGACACTGCCCTTGTTAACTCAATTTTGTAACTTCCATGTCAAATCTTTTGTCTCCGCAACACATCTAGCCATTTGTCATTAACCTCCTTTTGTCCAATCTTGTACATATAGAATTTTAGTTATACCTTTGACTACTTTCCACCACCTTGTATACAGCACTTTGTATTATTGGCATTGCCGTTGATAAATAAATAAAATAAAAACACTACTGGTAGTACCTTACCCGCCTTACAAAACAACTGGAGTAGTCAAACTCAACAAGTGCTACCATAGATAACACATATGTTGGTTAGTCTATGGTACTAAAGGTACTACCATAGATAAAACAAACATACTCCCTTAGATTTCCTATCCTTATGGAACTGCTGAAGCAAATTTTATCGCTAGCTCTGTCCGGTTTTCTGTAGATGTCGTGTTTGGTTTACAATTTGTTTCTTGTTATTTCAGTAATTTCAAACCTCGTTTGACAAATTAAAACTATCTAATCATAAACAATAACTCGTCCACTAGCTATATAACCAAACAGTGAGGCACAAATAATGATAAACTAACCCTAAAATAATATAAACAAACTGTAAACAAAACCCGTCATCTACACAAAACCGGGCAGAACTAACAACAAAATTGGCTTCCATAAGGATAGGAAATCTACTAAAGGGCTATGTTTTATCTATGGTACTAGAATATGTTTTATCTATAGTACTACTAAACAAAATATTATCATAAAATAATTTTGAGTACACTTTTTACAACGTACCTAATTAAAGTATAGATAGTGCTTACATCTAGAAAATTTTCAAAAATTAAATTTGAAATATGTTATGGGAAGCCATAAGACATCGGTCAAAGAAAAATCTAAGTTAGTAATGTCTACGATTCCAAGATAAAATTGTTATAGTGTTATACCCACACAGTGTTTATAACCAATGGTCCATTTGAGTCTCATCGTCTCATGTATCAACACAGGGCCACATTTACTGTGACCATTATAATAAAAAAAGTACAAACAACCTTGGTTCGCGCCTGGCTCTCAGCTGTGCGTGTTTCTTTGAATCTGGGCAAAATTGGCAAGTGAAGTGAGACAGTGAGACAAGAAGACAAAATTACTACAATTACCTAAAAGTGACTAATTACTCTAATAGTGTTTTATAATGTTTTAAATTGCATGGTAAGCTAGAGTTATTCTCTATCATTAAATATTGCTATATTATTTTTAAAAAGCTAAGTATATTTGACATTTTAGTTGGTAAGTATTGTACAAAATAATTTTTATCAGACTGCAAGGAGTTAAAAATAACTTCTACAATTTTGGGACTATAAACTTCGGAGCTCAAAGCTCAAGTAATATTCAGGATCTAGATTAAGTTAGTAGGTATAGTTACTATTATTTAAGTTGTACACTTTTTCCCGAGGTTTAAATAATTTTACATGCAATTTCAGAATCAATAGGCTCTACACTCATTTTAATCTATGGTATCAGGCCAGGCCAAATAATTTTAAAATATATCCTTTCTGTGGATTATTTAACTTAAGTTACCGGTTTTAAGTCTAGACCTAAATAGGCTAGGCCTATATAAGTATTTGATTTGCTTACATAACCTCAATTTTATTATAGGTCTAAGTTATTTAGGTTCAAAAGACAAAAAAATGCATTTATCCCTTATCTATTTTTGTAGGCTAAGTTATATATATTAGTTACACAGAGGATATGCGTCCGGTAACCGGACATGGATTAGGCGTCCAGCAGTGACGTCACCGGGTTGTGGGGGCCCGGAACGCCATTACCACAATGATACGATGTAAACTTACAGCCATCGGTGTTTGTGGTCTAGTGGATAGAGTGCTCGGCTGGGAATATGCAAGAGGTCCCTGGTTCGAATCCCATCGGTAACATTTACTTTTTATCAAAGATTTTGCATTTCATGCCGGTAAGTTAATTATTCCGTATAGGTGCCTCCAAAAGAATTTCCAATTTTGATATCTTACTTTAGACTTAGTTTTTTACCTCCTGAATCCAAATATACCATCATTTTTCACCGCTGATGAATATTTCTCAAGATATCGCCCTACGGTAATAAAATACAACATTAACTTACAATAAACAATGTAGGATTTAACATTTACAAGTGGGATGAACTACGCCTAACTTATGGGTTAAGTAAGCCAACAGCTGATTGTTTTCAATTCAAGCAAATCAGCAAATGGAAGTGACAACTTTATTAGCTAACTCTGATTCTGCAATATGAAAATCGCGTGATTAAGTTACACTTTTCACTTTCTAAGACCAATAGTTAACACATTTAAAAAAATGTATTATTTTTACCAGTATTTTATTCTTATTTATGATTTATATTTCGCTGTTTGGAAATTATATAATAAAATGGCGCTATTCTAACATAATCTAACCAAACAAAACCTCTAGAATGTAAGGATATCTCTCCTATTGATGTCAGAAAAAGCATGTAAGGGCGGTAAGTCGTGATTTATGTGAATTGGTGACTGCATTAAGTCCTTTAAGGTAGGTTAGACTAGGTAAGTTAAAGTTTAGGTTATAATGAATTGATTTGTTAGTTTAAATGTCGCCTGCAGACCGTTTTTGTAAAATTAAAATCCTGAGAAAAACACTTCAAATTACTTTTTCAAAAATGCAAGCAAAAAAACTTCTAGGCAATCGGGACAACATCTTTGATGATTTCACATCCAGGGTTTGTCGCGATCGTCTCTAGT